CACTATTCTTGGTAGATTTTATATTGTCACAGTGTGGGATAGTCAGGGACAAAGGTGATGGAAAGAAAAAGAATACAGATGAAATTGACTAGATTGAGAAAAAAAAATCCTTTCAGAAATATTTATTTAAAAATTTTGAAACTACCTGCATCTCTCATTTCGTGCACATGTGTAGACATGGCAACGTCAACAAAGTCCAGTCTGACGAAATCCTAATGGATGAAAGACATCACAAAAAAACCTTTACAGTTTGTCATATTTTTTCTAAATGTATGTATGTGAGTGTGTGATAAATCAGGCAAATTGTAAACAGTTTTATTTACTACATGTTTTACCTTCATTAAATCAGCTTCATTGAGTGAGAAGAAGCCTATCTTAGTGTTGTAGACAAGCGTATGGTTGCAAGAAAGAAATATGACAACAGTAGAAATAGATTTACGTGGTTTATTTCAACAGGAACGTGAGGGTTTGGGACAGCTACCTTGTGGTAAAGTTCATAAGCCGGCTTTCGGATCTGGTCGATCTCTCATAGTAGTTCACACATGTTGACGGTGGTTGACGCTCCCCTGCTGCTGATCGCTCGGCCTGACCGTCAGGTCTGTTCACTGGCCACCTGTTGACTGCCTGTTGAACTTCTGTGTGACCCCTTTTATAGCATTTTTTTATGGCTCAAAAAACGAAGTGAGTATAATTAGTAGGGAAACGTTTTTATTGGACAAAAAATAGATCACTTTAAATATTTTTATTTTTTGACCGGAACACGTGTGTCGGGAACATTTGTAAAGAAAGATAATGGTCATTTTGTGACGGGGCTTTGTCCCGTTCACATCTGGTTCTCGCTCTTGAGTATTTGCCTGTAAATCAGCCGAGATATGTCTTATTTTATTTTATAACTACAAACGTAAAACACATAATCATTAAAACAGCTTTCCACCTTGTCTGATTTATCAAACTTTTGTTCGTATTCTATATTCTACTAATGCACACACACACACACACACACACATATATATATATATATAAGTATAGGAGTGGTGTATATGGAATACATTCCAATAACCAACAAATTATGTTATAATTTTAGAATAAATAATTATATATGTGAAAAGTGTGTGTATATATATATATATATATATATATATATATATTAAGAAATGGACAAGGTCCGACAATTTATTTATTAAAAACATATTTTTATGTTTAACGTTGTTATTTTATAGATACAATATTTAAGCAAATGCTCTGTTTATGATAAACAGTATTAAATAACATTTACGGCCTGAATGTATCCTGTCAAAAGAACGAAAATTTTCTATGAAAATTTTCTCGGACATTCAGGCCATTATTTAATACTGTTTATCATAAACAGAGCATTTGCTTAAAATTTGTATCTATAAAAAAACAACGTTAAACATAAAAAATATGTCTTTAATAAATATATATATATATATATATATATATATATATATATATATAATTATTTATATATTATATGTGCGGTACTTATTAGAAAGCGCTCAATATCAGAGATAGAGCTAACATTTAAAAATATATAGAAAAAAACATTTGTTTTCAGATAGTATCTGTTAACTCAGTTTAAAGGTCAAGTGGGTATTGAGTTAGTTTTCCTTACCCATATTACAAATGCCCATTTAAATTTACAGACTACTCATAGGAGTTTGTCTGGACGATCGCAAAAGCGTGAAACCCAGGGTCACAAACTCACATCAATCCAACCAAATATATAATATATATATATATATATATATATATATATATATATAATATGCTCATGTCTGTTGCTTTGTAATGTACAAAACCAGTTATACTATGTTTTTATTCATATCTAAGAAATGACCATTTTATATTTTGCATACTTAACCCAAAAATTTGTCCACTTAAAATGATATAATTTATATGTTGCTAATTTTTAAAAATTGCAATGATCATGGACCGTTTTAGATAAAATATTTAAAAATTGATACAATAATTTAAATATCTTCTTTGAAGTTTTAATGTTGGCTTTAATTGAAAGATCGTTGGAAAAAAATAAAAATTACTTTTGCATAATTAAAACCAATTTTTGGACAGTTTTTAGTGCCAATTTTTTTTGTTCAAAATTAACTTCAATTATATCCTGAATGATGTCAGCTAGCAGAAAAATGTTTAAAAAAATTAAAATCTTCCTAAAATAATGTAGTCTTTACAGAAATATACTTCACAAAAATGAATTTATTTATTGATTTCCTAACTGGAATTTGAGAAAATACTTAAAAATATAGAGAAAAAAAACATTTGTTTTCAGATAGTATCTGTTAACTCAGTTTAAAGGACAAGTGGGTATTGAGTTAGTTTTCCTTACCCATATTACAAATGCCCATTTAAATTTACAAACTACTCGTAGGACAGCTGAAGTATGAATGACCAAAAATGATAATTTCTGTCCAAAGGCATTTTAATGCTAAAGTTTCACCCAATATAAGACCTAAGAGGTACTCAAGGTAGAGGGTTATAGTCAAAAGGTCACATTAGGAGTATTGAGTTGAAGTAAACTAGAAGGAACTGAAAATCCAATCCTAAACAGAAAACAAAGGATAAACTTCTACTCCTATTCAGAATACCAGGAAGATGTGTGAACTGGATGATAAGTGATTCAATTCCTTGGAAGTGACAAGGCATGTCTTAGCTATTAATGTCTGAATTGATGGAACTAAAAAACATTTGAACATTTGTCATGGAAACAATGACGGAGTAGTGACAGTTTTGCCACATTGCATCTGTAGGAAAGAGATTGCAGAATGGAGAATAAACCACAAGATCATGTAAAACAATTCTGAATTCTGTCAAGGCTGGAAAGTGAGAATTTAGCAGCTTCAGCCCAGATATTGCATCAACATGTTATTTTAGATTTAATCTAATCTTGTAAAGATAAAGTTGGTTCAATTTTTCTCACTCAAATTTATCACATTTTTAGAAATCTAAATAGTTTAATACTTTGACAATCCACACACTCATACCTTTCTTCCATGGAGCTCAGGTTTTGGTTGGGATCAGTTCTGGAGATTTATCTTTCTGAATCCACTGCCTTTTGTGTTGAACATTGTTGCATGCAACCCACTTTTCATCGCCTGTTATAATATATTTAAGAAACAGGATGATTAAAATAGTTCTCAAAAACGGAAATTACTTCTGACTCAACCAAATATAAAGTGACCAGTAATCATTTATGTTCAAGCTGTTCTTCCTTGCATTTTGAGCAATTAAAACTTGCCAGATAATTTATACTTAGGAAACTACCAACTTCAGAACAATTATATTTTTACTATTCCTATCCACCAAACAGAATACCACTGACCATTACAGAAAACCTGTTACATAAAATCATCTTCTAAGTCTGTTTTATTTATAAATTTGAATTTTTTTTTGCAATAGTTTGGTATTTTAACAATAAGTTTTTAGTATTTTGTAACTGCATTAAAATTAAGATTGCTAAGATTAGCCTACTTAAAACTGTTAATTTTCTAATTTGAGTAACAAATTAGGATTACAAAAATAGTGTGATTGGGTAATCATCAACTGCAAAGGAGATTCAAAACTTAGTATCTAAAATTATTAGATTTGACTCAATGATTAGTAAATTCTGTAATTTAGCCTTATTCATTTCAATACATTCAATTTAATGATCTTTTTTTTTTTCTCATTTATAAAAAATATAATTAACATGTTTGTTGTTTTTAACAGTACATATTACAAATATAATTAACATGTTTTTATTTTTTAACAGTGATTTTTTTTTTAACAACATATTAAATATAATTAACATGTTTGTTGTTTTTAACAGTTAATTTTCTAATAATTGAATGTAACAAATTAGCTCAAAGTGATTACAAAAAATAGATGTTTGTTGTTTTTAACAGTACATATGTTTGAACAGTAGATCAAATATAATTAACATGTTTGTTGTTTTTAATACATATGCAAATATAATTAGTTTGTTGTTCAAAACTATAATTAACATGTTTGTTGTTTTTTAGTATCTATAATTAACATGTTTGTTGTTTTTTAACAGTACATTCAAATATAATTAACATGTTTGTTGTTTTTAACAGTACATATTTATAATTAACATGTTTTGTTGTTTTAACAGTACATATATAATTAACATGATATTTTAACAGACATCAAATATAATTAACATGCACAGTACATATTATAATTAACATGTTTGTTGTTTTTTAACAGTACATATATAAATTAATTAACATGTTTGTTGTTTTTTAACAGTACATATTATATAATTAACATGTTTGTTGTTTTTAACATATTTATTATTAAAAATAAGACATTTTGTTGTTTTTTAACAGTCATATTCAAATATAATTAACATGATTTTTGTTTTTTACATATTAAAATATAATTATTTATGAATATATTTTAACAGTACATCATAATTAACATGTTTGTTGTTTTTAACAGTGTTTGTTGTTTTTAAATATAATGGCAGTATTTTTTAACATGGCCAAAATAATTAACATGTTTGTTGTTTTTAACAGTACATATTACAAATATAATTAACATGTTTGTTGTTTTTAACAGTACATATTACAAATATAATTAACATCATCATTTACAAATATGCATGTTTGTTTTTTTTTAAGACAAAATATAATTTTTTGTTGTTTTTAACAGTATCATTCATTTTTGTTGTTTTTTTTAACAGTACATATTAAAAATATAATTAACATGTTTGTTGTTTTTAACAGTACATATTACAAAGTATACAATCTTAAGAAGAAAGAAAGTTTGTATTCTGCACCAATTCTTTCACTCCATTTATTGTTCTTTCTTTAATGTGAAATATTTACAATTACAGAGAATTTTCCAAATATAAAACATGTTTGTTGTTTTAAAACATATTACAAATATAATTAACATGTTTGTTGTTTTTTAATAGTACAAAACAAAGTAAGAAGGAGATTCTCAAAAATATTAAATTACAGAAAAACAGCAAATTTTCAAAAATAAAGAAGAAATTGACCTCAGAGGCTACTTAGACTGGATCACACAAGCCGGTAAGTTGGACAAAAGTGTTTGCTCTGATCCTGCTGTTTCTCCTCTTACACTGCTTTTCTAGACACAGAAATAAGACTGCAAGAAAACTGCAGGAATTTCTAGACAAGGTAGTAAAGTGAGAAGAAAGACTACCCATCAATTGTAAGAAGACAAAATGTAATGTTGTCAGCAAGAAAAAAAGCTCAAGATATGAACTACAAATTGGAGAAGTTGAAACATTTGGGAAGTGTTTAACAGATGACATAAAAATGTGACACCACAATCTGAAGGTACATTGTAATAGTGAAAGATGCCTTCCAAAAGCGAAGTACAGTATTAAGAAACAGGAAAGTTTCAAACAAAACAAAGAGTGCTGAATCACTATATAATATTAGGTCTCCTATATGGCAGTGATTGCTGGACAACTTCCTCACAGATGAAGAGGAGACTTGAGGCAACAAAGATGTGGCTCTACAGAAGAATGATGAGAATTCCTATTTTCCCAAAGTTTTTGGGAAAATAGAAATGAAAAGGATATTTATGTTTAGAATCAAAAAGAGAAAGTTGAAATGTTTAGGACACATAATGAGGAAAAAGGCTTGGAAAATTTGATACTCACAGAATATTGAAGGCAAGAAGGAGAGAGAGAAACAGTAGGACCCTACTTAGCAAGCTTGTATAATTAGATGGCAAAACAGAGATTGGGTGGTTAGTAAAAAGAAAAACATTGCTAAGAGCTATAAAGGATAGGAAGTTGTAGAGAGCCATGATTACCCACACCCTGAATGGACATGGTGCTGGTTTTCTGGAGTTCAATTTTGAGTATCCTCCAAGACATTGCTTAATGAATAAAAAAGTAAAATTCATTTGGTTCCCTGGAATTCATGAGCATAATTTTCTTGTTCTTTATTTTCTTGCTTTACTTTCAAACAAACTCTAAGATTTCTCTGAATTTATGAGACAAACTTATGTTACTCTTTAAACTACGTACATTGTCTGGACTGTTGTCTTCATCTTTATTGTAATATTCATAACATTTCGGACATTGTACGCTCCGGCCTTCTTCACATGATATATGTTGGAATTTCAAACTGAACACTTTATTTCATCCAACAGGGTAGATTGATCTATTTCCATGTGCCATGTCTTTTGTCTTTTCTGAATATTTTATTTTTAATTATTTCCCTTTAGTAACTCAACTCTCAAAGTTTGTTTTTGTTTGTTTACAACTCTTTGGGTCAAGTCATTGTTATTTTTCTCTAGCAATCTGTATTACTGGTTCCTATATTGTATTCATGTCTATGCTTGGCTGGCTTAGATTTCTGTGGCCTAATATATGCATTGATTCCTTAAGTTTTTGTATTTTCCAGTCCTTTATTATTTCAACCTTGTCCCACAGGGGCAGTCACAATAGTCCAAGTAATGTAAATAGTATAATAAGTTACAATATCTCATCTCAGAAATATAGACAGTTATATTACTCTTGTTCTTGCAAAAAGAATGTATAAATCATTTCATATTGGATAATGTCAAATGTTATCTCAACTTTCCGACTCACATTCATATTCCCTGTTCAGTATCTTGACATTTTCATCTGGTCAGTTAATTCAAATCTTACATGACCGGATCTTGGCAGCAGATCTCTCCTCTGTCCTAGCTTTGACAGCTCAGTGGGGGAAAAACTGGCTGGTCATATTCAATGCCTCAAAAGCCAAACTACTGATTTTTCATTATCACCAAGCAGATCCTGAATTTTCGTCTATCAGGATGCTCTGTGCCTTAAGTGCATATTGGGATTATACTCAAACCTGAGCTCAAGTAGAACTTTGTACATACATTTCATCCCTAGAGATACTGGAAAGATGGCCAGTACACTGTACCTGCTATTCTCTGCCTTTACAAGAGTCAGATCAAGTTGAAAAGGAAGTTCTGTTGTCATATATGGACAGGAGCTACCCAGTCTTTCCTTTTTCAGTCTCAACAGAGTCCAAAAATGTTTCAGTGTCCTTGTGGGTGACAAATTATTTTCCACCCTATAACCCCTTTCCCCACAAATGAAATGTCACAAGTCTCTTACTATATCACTATTTCCATGGAAAGTGTTCAGATGAACTATATTCCTTGGTTCCACCAGATATAACCTTCATAGTTAAAACCCGCCATTCCACACACATAGTAGCAAGCCACTCTCATTCCCTTCATTATTCCATTGATGAGATATTTCACATCATTTAAAAAAAAAACATCAATATCTTAATTTGTTGAGACCCATTATCATGTATGTCCTAAAGAGAAATGGTACATGAGTTTTCCCAGAAATATTTGGATCCTTCCATTTTTACAATCATCAAGGCATTAACCCTACTGTTTATAATACATGTCCCATTGAATGGGATAGACAAGGAATTTTTTTCTTTTCATTCAGTTTTTCTATTGTCCTTATAGCTTTATGATGACTGAGAAAGTATAGAAGCTCTCTGTAGTGATTATTGCTCCAAGCACACCCTACAGACAGTTTCTACACACTCTTCCAAATCCAGAGCCTTTTCACTTCTGTTGGAGGAATTTCTCCATGGTTGACCTCCACCATTTCCTATCTCTGGCCATACTGGGCCATGTGGGATAGAGTTATCATTTCAGATCATCGTACCAGCTTACATTTGGCTACCCTCTAGTTCTTTTCCAATGCCTTGATGTCCACTCTGTCATTTTAATAGTCCACCTGTTGTTGCTGAGATGAGAGACGTAGCTAATCCATTTATATTTGCCTTTCTTAATGGTTTCAATTATGTCTTTCACTCCAGTCTTCTGTCGAATCCAGGTGATGCTCTTGTCATGTAAGGTGATGCCAAGCATGATTGATTATTTTATGTTAGGCCACTGCAAGAGTCTTTGCAGTGTTGAGTGGTTAGATCTCACTTCCATAAATCATCACTGGCAGAATATATAAAAGTACACACTTTTAGTTCTCACTAATGAAAAATTGTAAGGACACTAGAAAAACTGAATAAGAACCTTACAAAATTTCCCTTGTCTATCACATTCAATGAAAAATGAATAAAAGAATGATTGCTGCCCAATATACAATATTAATAATGAAATGGGAAGGTACTGCCTAAGGAATGAATACTCTGTCACCAGGTTATTTAATTTGTTGAATGTCTGATTGAAAGCATAACAACCTTGTACTACTTAAATAATGACCCTTGAAGATTTTTTTTCTAAATTTGACTGTATTTTTGTTACTAAGATAATTTGTTTGGTACAAGGCACACAGTGAGAATTGAATTCACATCTCTGTAGTAATGAGAATACATAAAATCATTTCATATTGGATAATGATAAATAGAATGACAAATTTAGAAAACTATTACTTTGGTCTGTTTTGCTAATCAGGCAGAATCATTAAATTTATAGCCTATCAGCCGTTCTTACAAAACTTGTGTTGAAACAATATGGGTACAAAAAATCTTAAAACAAATAATTATATAAATACAAACTGAGTTGAAATTGAAAAAAAAATGATATAGTTAAAGTAAAAAAAAAAAATACAGCATTCATATGATTAACATGAATGACCCCAATGTAGATTTGGTTGAAATAAAATCCATTTTTCTGTCATGTTGTTTGATCAGGAAACATGTGAAAAAATGAGTTTTCCAAATTTGTCTGACATAGTTACCATTCTGTTGGATTCTTATCCAAATTTAAATCATATTGGATAATGCCAAACTTTCCAGCTCAAGTTCCTGTCTATTTCTCAACATCTTGACATTGTCATCTGGTCAGTTAACTCAAATTTTATATCAATATATTAATGTTTCATTCTCAGGTTTTTAAACATTGGCTAGGAAGTTGTGAATAGAAGAATACATGATGACTCTACATTTTCATCTGATATTCCCACCTTCTGACAGAAAATAACATTTAGTAATATGGGGTGATTTAGGTTTGTGATAATGATGCTTTGGCTCCCCCTCCTTGCCAAATCATTCCTAACTCCAGAGTCTTTGTCTGAAAAAGGCTCTGTTAGTGGTAGTGCTGTTGTTTATGCAGCTAATATGTGTATGAAATTATATAACAAAATTATACTTTGGGAATTATAATGTTAAGATAATAGTTGCTTTTCCTTATTGATTAAAAATCATAAATTTGTTTCCAAATTCTAGGATGGTATCTTTTTGTTTATAAGATTTTAAATTTCATTATTTCCTTTTAACTATTTACAGAGGATATAGACCCAGAAAATGAAGAGGGTGAAGAAGAAGGTGCCACCCCTAAACACAGTAAGTGAATTTTTTTTTATGTCAAGAGGTCCTCAGTTTTTTAATCTGACTTTTGTACAATCCTTTCAATATTTTTTATAAGTTCATGAGACCTTCATGAAGTACTGCTCTTTAGATCCAATGTGTTTTAAATACAATGTAAATATTTTAGGGATGGAACAAATGTTTCCACTGGTATTATTATGTAACAATTGCAATTGAAATGATTGGGATGATTTACTATGTTAAATGTTATGTATTATTTATTATTATGTAACAATTGGGATGATTTACAGAAATTAACAACTGACATTATTGACAAAAATTTTCTTGGGTTAAAAGATTAAGCCAGGAGACAGGGTGGAGTAATGGATAGTAACTTGGATTGAGGAATTGGAGAGCCAAGTTTGAATTTCAGTCAAAACCATTACATTCACTAAGGTGCTAATACCCTTGAGAAAGACTTGAATCCTCTTCTTCTCCCAGCTATGGGTAAATAGCAGGACAGACTGGGTTCTATTGCCTTGGATGACAACTGGTCTGCCACAGAAGGAAATGGAAACCTACTGTGGGGGGGAAAAAAAAAAATTTCCAATATAAAGTAATGGTAGACGAATTGACATGGGCTTAACTGAGAGAAGTTGCCTAAAACCATGTCTTCTAGCATGGTGTGGCTGCAGCACCATGCTCCACAAGGAGTCTAACGGAATAAACTAAATAATATAAATCATATTAAATCCATGATGCTTACTAGTTTGCAAATTGTAAAATTATCTGAACATTTAAAAAAAAAAAATAACAAAGATAAAAAAAAAACCTAAATCAAAATTAATAATTTTAGAATCTTTGTACAAAACTTCAGAAAAATTTCTTGAAACTTATTTTTTTTTTTTTTTTTTTTTTTTTTTTTGTAGATTTGTAGGGAATTATGTTGTCCAGGTTTTGTTATATTAAAAATCCAAATGTTTGAATTCCAAACAATAATAAAATAAAAATAAATAAAACATGGTTATTCTTGTTAAATAAATCATTTGCATTTACAAACATATGTACATGAATTCAAAAGAGTCAGAAAGGAATAAAAATACTCTTTTGTGTTGTTACTCCACAGAAAAAACTGTAGTTTAGCACATGCTTTGATTGTCAGTGAAAATTTGATGACTGATCTGTTGTTGCTGGAGATAATTCATTTGAAGTTGTCAACACATTTCTTTCAACATGCGCTGGGGGAGGGGGAAAAAGCTATGTAGCCACATCTTGTGTTTGGACGGCTTGGAGACAGTTGCATCTTTGCTACTGAAAGTCAGTCTGTAGGTTTTTAGAAGGAATTTTGCCTGAAAGTTGGATTGAGAAAAATAAGGTTTAAGTTTATCCTGATTGGTCAAATATTTCATGTGGTAATTTAAATTTCTAACCAATAGATGCCTTAAACAGTATGTGTTCTATTGTGGAATCTTTTTGGATATGTTTGTAAATATTGTCTGTAACTGGGTAGAAAATACAGTTTAGGCATGTTTTAATATGGTATGTAAGTGGGTATATAATTGTGTTGGAAATAGGATTTATTTCTTATAGATTCCTCAGAAATAATGAATGGCTAAATCTTATTGTTATGAATTTAACAAGGAAGAAAATAACTTGTATAGATTTTAATTTCCTGGCAAATTATCTCCCTTTCAGACAGGTCTCATGCAACAGCCGTATCATTTGGACTTTAAACTTTTTCAAAACTTCACAGATAAAGCTCTTGAAACTTTTTCTCTTCTATTTTCTTTCCCAGATAAGCCAAGTGATACAGAATCATCTGAAAAAAATGAAGACCAAGAAAGCGGAGAAACGCAGTTAACTTGGTGGCAATTAAAAAGGTAAGGACTGGACAGAAAAAGGCAGTGAACCTTTGAGAGGTTTACATTTTATATTATAGAATAATTGACCATAGTTAAACGTAATTGGCAGAAATGCCCAAACAAACAGAATTGACAAAGTCTGCAATAAACAATAACAAGAGAAAGAAAAGAACAGGGCAAAAATAATATTAAGAAAACAAACAATATTTTTATTTATTTAATTTTTTTTTTTTTTTTAAAGCATTTCATCCCAAGCAAGGCAGGAATGCCACTAGTACACAAGGGGCTACAGACAGTGTAAGTAAGGGAAAAGACTGGATATAGGTGGGGGGTTGAGGAAAAGAAAAAAAGAAGAATGGAGATCAAGGCAACAGAAGATGTCGATTTACATTGTATTTAAATTTTTGAAGATTATAGTTACCATGGAAGCAAATAAGAGGAAGGGAATTCCACTGTTGGGAAGTGTGAGAGAAGAAGCTGTTGTATAGAAGAGGTGGTTACATTTAACTGTTTTGACAGTGAAACTGAGATGCCAACCTAGTAGCACGCTTAAATTCATGCAGTCGGGGCACCAGTGAAAATAACTTGTCAGAGCTGATATCATGAAAATATTTCTAGAAAAGACAGAGGGAAACCACATTACATCAGTGAAAAAGTGACTGGAGTTGAAACCTCAAGTCAGGACTGATCACATTGCATATCCATGTTTGGATTTTGTTAAGAACCTCGAGATGAACAGCAGGGGCACCAGACCATATGCAAGGCAAAGCAATGGTAATAAGGCAAAAGGGTCACAAACTAAGAATAATATTAACACACAAAAGGGGATACAGACAAGTGATCGCAGTATTCTGGCTTCAAAACAGTAAAGAGCAGACCTGAATTGGCTGAGACTGAGAAGTAACTTATTTTATTAGTTAGGAAAAAAATCTCAACCTGCATCTGTATGTGTGTGTGTGTCTATAAATTTGGAGAGGGGGATGTTTTGCAGTCATTCATAACAAAAGAAATACAAATAAAAAATTCATAACAATAGATGAATATTTAATGTTAATAAACTTTATGTAAATATATATGTTGGTTCAAATATTATTTTATTTTGGTTGGTTTTTGTTGCAATTCCCAGATTGTCCTTCACTGGTTCTTAGTTAACAACCCTGATTAAATAAAGATGAACAATAAAGAACAGGAATCAAGAAAATAAAAGATAATAAACATTGTATTTAAATTTTTGAAGCTCAAAGTTGAATGGTAAACAGGAGGCTGGGAGAGAGTTCCATAAGTGAGAGAAGAAATTATTAGCATAGAACTTATGGTTATATTTAGCTATTTCAATTGTAAAATGATGAGACCTAGCTGCCAATCTAGTACTGCACTTAAATTCATAAAGTGTAGGTACCATAGAGGAAAGTCACATCAGAACAATTACCATGAAAATATTTATGGAAAAGGCATGAGGAAGCTGCATTATGGCAGTGAGAAAGTGACTGGATCCAAGATGCCAGGTTAGAATCAATAACATTGGGGCATCTCATTCTCAGCATCCTCCTGTACATCTATGTTGCTTAATGTCTTCTCTTCATTTGTGAAGAAACTCTCCAACATTTACTGCGATATAGCAAGATTGATATCATGTAGCATTTCAGCACTCTTTTCTTTGTTTCTAACAAAATCTTATCAACACTACATTTAAATGAAATTTCATAACATTTATCATTTTTCATGGCTCCAATACAAAATGTCATTAAATATTAATAACAAGTAGACAGCTATGTGAGAATTTCAATAATTTATTAGTTATTTATTTATTGAATTTATTTTCTGTTTTTAGTTCTGCATAAAATAATTGCTGAACTGTAGGGTTTTTTTAATCTATTTTCAGCCGAAGATTACGAAAATGGAACCGTCGATGTCGGAGGTTATGTCGGCGTTTAGTAAAATCCCAAGTTTTCTATTGGGTAGTAATTGTTATGGTGTTCCTCAATACAGGTGTTTTAACATCAGAACATTATTTACAGCCTGCATGGCTGGATACTTTCCAAGGTAAGACAAAATGTTTTTTTTCTTTATCTTTCCTTTTTATTATGAGACACTATTCAAATTGTTTCTAAAATTGCAAATGAGCTTCTCTTAATTTTTATTATATTACTAAATATTTATATAACACATGATATCATTGGTAGGATTTATTAAATACATGATAATTTCCATTCACTATAATGATGATATAGGTGGCACAATAAATTCTAATTGTAAAGGGAAAATAAATCATAAGAACAGTTGTATTTTAAGACTTGAACCTGGTATAAGTAAAATTTTGCTATTTTTACATCACCTGCTGACTGCTACTCTATCTACCCTAATATGAGCTTTAGTCCTTTCCTTCACTAACAAAGTAACTGTTTTTTTTTAATCATTTCACCCAAGAAGGGTGATAAAGACACTAAAAAAAGGGTTACTGTTCATTAAAGAAAATTGAGTGAAGGTAACTGAAAAAACACTAAGAGGAGAAATGATGCTGAAATGATTGGGATTCAAAATGATGTTAAATTTTAAATTTCTGATGATAAAGAAATATAAATTGATGACTAAGCACTGAATTTTGAAATTTTTATCTAAAAATTATTTAGGTTTTATTATTAATTTTACTCAGACAAAAGCAAAATTAGTCAGAAATGAATAATAAAAGACAAACATGTTTCACAAGCTCAGGATTCCTTGAGGGATATTTTTCATTTGCATGAGCCAAAAGTTAGTTTCTTCTGACAAACACATGTCAGTACAGACACAAAAGAGTTCTCAAATTGTGTGTGGGCATGTTTGTCAACACCAGTTAAGTTACATCCAGGTTTTCCCCATTAACAGCAAGACAGCTTGGCATGTTTAGATACAGGCCTCTCTGCAAATGGTCAAGATCCAGGTTATTGTAAGATGCCACATGCAAATAAAAGCAACAGGAAAACCAGCAGTCAGCAGTTGACAAGACGCAATGCTTTGTGAAGTCGGTCCTGTAGATATTTTGTTCCTAAAATTGCTGTGGTTTCTGAGGCAGTGTTATTTTGTTGTCTCTCGTTTCTTTTCTCTCTCTGCCTATTACCCCCGAAGTTGCTTGGAGAGCAATCAGTTACGTGTTTTCCCCAACCTCAACACACTCTTGCCATACTTTACAACATTTCTTCATCTTATTGTCACAGTATGTTCTCATTGGAAGTGTGGGGTTAACTCCACTTACTTACTTTCCTGAAATCACTAAATGGGGACACTCACTTAGAGGACACTCTTACTTTTTCCACTTACGCATCAACATGTAAGTCTCTAGGGGAAAAACACGTTTCCCATTGAGAAACGTATGAACATACCACCTGCACAACACATGTACATACACACATTCACATCACATCAGGATCACCAACTTGTTGCAGGTGATTAATAACATTGTGTGTTTCTTGGAAGAAACATATATCTCCTGGAATACCCACAACAAAATGGCGGACTTGGTATGTGAGTCTACGTGAATAAATCCAAAGAAACAACAAGGATTAATACATGTACAAACAAATGATAATGTATTAACAAGAAAGATATACATGTGACAAAGACAATGATGTGTGTAATATAAGAATGTGAAAACCTTTTTGGTCCAAAGTATGTGAAGTGAGTGAATGTGCATATGTATATGTGTTGTGTTCATATGTTCCTGCTAGAGACTTACATGTTGACATGTAACTAAATTAAGGAGAGGCTACGAAAAATTATTGCAGAGTATTTATAGTGCCAGAGACCATCCTCTACTGTAGTTTCAGGAAAGTAAGTGGAGTTAACCCCACAGAAGCCATTCTTGCCCTTTCTAATTTGTTTTGACATCAATGTATTTAGAAAACCTTGCAGTATAAATTTAAACTCACTAATCTAGGATTCACTTGTTAGGTAATTTTGATGGTTTGAGATGTTGATTTGAATCTGATGTTCATTTAGGTATAAAAAAATCCTTTTCAATAGACACATGAGGGTAAAAAAATAATTGGTAATCTTGAACCTTTGTTCTCTGCAAATCAGTGTGTCAAAAGGACATTTTTTTTTCAATTGATACAGTTATTATTTTAATCACCTTCACTCCTTGGCAATGTTTATTGCTTTAAAAGTGATGATTAGAATTGTAATAAACCTTAAACATATGAAAGTGAATTTATACATTTTCTTTGTTCTTGGGAATTGATAACAAAAATATTAAACACTATTCATTCATTATATTAGAATGGCTGGCAAAGCATCAGCAAATTGCCGGTCGATTTGAACTTTATAAAATGGTAGATAATGATTTCTTTATAGTTGTTTCACCTATTTTAATAATTTAGTAAATGTTTATAATTTTATGAATAAAAAATTGTTTTCATATTGATTTCTTTATAAATTGGTAAATGAAAAATATTGCATTATTTTTAATAAAATTGTATTAGTTTTTACAATGTTGTAAATATAAAATTATTCTTGCAAATAAACAATCAAATAAATAGTGTTTATTATTTTTGTTATAAATTCTCAAGAACATAAAATGTATAAATTCACTTTCATCATATGTTTAGGTTTTATTACAAATTTAATCATCACTTTTTAAAACAATAAACATTGCTAAAGAGTGAAGGTAGTTAAAATAATAGCAGCAAAAAACTGTCCTTTTGACACTCCAATTTTTTACAGGCATGAAGGTCCAAATTTGCCAGACAGTTTGTATAAAAATTAGTTTTATTGTCAAAATCTTTGTGTCTTTAGTAAAAAGAAAGACTGGAGAAAATTCTGATATAAAAATTATTTGTGTCCACTTTGTAGAAACAGATATTTTTGAAAACTTTTCTTCGAAAATTTTTACCAATCTATTCTTTGGCAATATTTATTCAGATTCTAATTTTGTTTTTACTTTCAAGGCTGACGAATAGTTTGGCTGTAAGCATTTTGATGAAAATAAAAAAAAAAAGAAACAATGAGGAGAACTAGTCAAAATTAATTTTTAGAATTTGTGTGATAATGAAAATTCTTCCTTCAGCTAAGAATCTCAAAACAGCTTAAAAGCCAATGGCCATTTTGTATGCCTTATTTCATAAAAGAATTTCATAATTACCATACTTGATTGTATATAAGATGTCTTCTCAAAAAAAGGTTTCACATGTAAGTTGAAGTTGTTTACACAAAGGCAATGGATTACTATTATTGTAACAGGTCTAAATTCATAATACTGTAAAATTAAAATGGGATGCCCTCTATACCATCAAATATAGTATTTCTTTTTCCTTGACAAGTTGTAAATATCTAAGTTAAAATAATCTAATTCATTCCTTGTCTTATTTTATTTTTCATTTCAGAAGTGGCAAACCTGTTTTTTGTGGTTGTCTTTACCTGTGAAATGTTATTAAAAATGTACAGCTTAGGTTTTGAGGGTTATTTTGTCTCCCTCTTCAACCGATTTGACAGCTTTGTTGTGATCTGCAGCATTGTTGAAGTAATCTTAATCCATACAAATGTGATCAAACCTCTGGGAGTCAGCGTGCTCAGGTGTGCACGTCTGCTAAGAGTTTTCAAAGCAACACGGTATGTATTTCTGCTTTCTGTGGTTTTTGGTTTTTCTCATAAATACCATTTCTCCTGGCACTGAAAAATATATTGGCTTTAAAGAATAATTGGGTATAAGGTTCTTGGCAACAATATTCAGTTTTAAAAACACATGGTAGATTTCCAAAGTTTATTTTAGAAAAATTGAGCAATGCTAGGAAGTATAGTATATTCTATTGAAATATGAAAAAAGTTGCCTTTTAATAATGCTCTGTGGAAAGAACTGTTTTAACAGACTGTCTCAGAGGATGAATGCCAAAATCAAAACATATGTTGTGTTTTAATGTCATGTTCCTTCAGGACATAGATGAACATGGCTCTCTACAGACTCTTTTTCTTTATTATATGTGAATTAGCATGTATTCTTAAAAAAATATAGTGGAGTGGTTTTCTATTGCCTACTCTATAGTTTGGAATTCAGACTTTTCATTCTCTTTGACCAGTTGTCACCCAAGGCTAGAACACAGTCTGCCCTGGAGGGAGAAGAGAGGAATTCATACATTCCCCAAGTATGAAAGTGAATGCAAAAGGCTAGCCCAAAATTTGAACTCGGCTCTTTGAATCCGCTTGCCATTCATTTATATTGCTCTGCAGGTGTACACGTTGTTGTGTCATGTATATTGCTAAGAAAGCGTTCGACCTCTGTTCTAGTTGGTGTCCGTTTATCATATGAGATACCTGCTCATATGCAAATTATACTAATTTGCATCTCACTACATCTCCCTATAATGGAGGGGCCTTATGCCACGAGTACTTCTTGTACTTCTTCTTGTACCCTCCTTTATCTCTCTCCTTTCCCTTGGAGATCTAGATCTATCACGTCTTTCCCTATAATCGAACTGTTCCTCTTGCATACTCTGGTCTTTCTCTTCTAACTTGTCCCATTCTACTTCTTCCTCTTCTAACTCATCTCTCTCTACTTCTTCCTCCGCAGTTTCATTCTGAATTAACTCTTCTGTTACATCAATAATGGGCATCTCTGAAGGCATTTCCTCATCCGATTCTTCTCCTTGGGATCTTATTTGGTCAGCATGAGCTAGAACACTGTTCCCATTTTCTTTATTTAATATTGCAGTATTATGTCCTTTCTGCATAATAAATTCGGCTGACTCGGGTTGCATATTCCTATTTCTTTTGTACCACATCTTTTGATTTGTGGCATATGACATAGTCAAAGGGGACCTTAATTGTCTGCCCATTAAGGCAGATGGACTTTCTGGCCTGCCTGCATGTGGAATTGTTCTGTAACTTAATAATAGTTTTGGTAGAAAAGTATCGATTTCCTCCTTCTGTTGCAAGCATGCTTTTATGCCCTTCTTTACCGTCTGGACCATCCTTTCCGCTGTCCCATTACTTTGAGGGTGGTAGGGAGGGGTCTTGTAAGGTCTGCATCCTATTTTTCTTAGCCATTCATGCAAACCAGCATCCACAAATTCTGGTGCGTTATCAGTCACCAATGTTCTCGGTGTCCCATTCCTCGAAAATATTACTCTTAATATTTGTTTTACGGTGGTACTTTTTTTTATCAGGTACTCTCACCACTTCAGGCCAATCTGAATATGCTTCTACTGATATTAATAATAGTCCTATCCCATTGACATAGGCATGGTCCATGTCTACTCTGCTCCATGGTTCTACTTCTCGGGGCCATACATGTATTTTCTTTTGCTTAAAATTCCTGAGTTCTGTGCATTTTTTGCATCTTTTTACGTAGTCTTCTACGTCTTTTGAGTACCCCGGCCACCACGCTTCCAATTTTAATCTTCTTTGCGTAGCTGCGACTCCACAATGTACGTCATCGTGTACACTTTTTATAACCTGTCTCCTCTGTGTTTCTGGGGGAACTACCAAGTCTCCATTACATATTATCCCGTTTTCTATAGTCATTTTATGTCTGATTTCTTTGAATGGTCTTTCAGCCATTGAACAATTTCCCCAGCGATTCTGTTTTATCCTCGACATTATTCTATTTAACACTGGGTCATTTGTAGTTTCAGTAGCCATTTTATCTACAGATATTACATCGGTTTCTACAAGGTGCAAGAATGTGTCTTCAATTCCTCGTTGTTTTTGTCCTTCTCCTCTCTATAAAACCTCAATCTAGATAAGGCATCAACGTGCGGTATCGTATTCCCTTTAACATATTCAATGTCAAAGTTGAACGCCATCAGTCTAATCGCCCAACATAATATTCTGGATGTTGTAACTTTCGGTAGCTCTTTTTTTGGGTTGAAAATAAATTCCAGTGGCCTGTGATCACTTTTCAACAAGAATTTTTTTCCTATCAAAAACTGTTTTGCTCTATCCGTTGTCCACACTATGGCTAGTGCCTCCCTTTCTATATTCGAATAATTGTGTTCAGTTGTTGTTAATCTCCTCGATAAGTACATTATGGGATGCCCATCTTGTGACAAAATACCAGATATGGACTGCTCACTAGCGTCAGTAGTTAGAGTTATGTCCTTCTTAGGGTAAAAAATTTGTACTATTGGCTTTTTTTGCCAGAATCTGTTTTAAGTTTTCAAAGGCTTTCTGTTGGTGTTCTAACCAAATGAATTCCACATTTTTTTTTTTAACTTAGCAAATGGTTCTGTCAACTCATTATATTTTGGTACATATTTTCTATAAAAATTTACCAAACCTAAGAAGGACTCCAACTCTTTTTATTTTTCGGTGTAGCAACTTTTAGAATTTTCTCTATTAGTACTTTATCTGGAGAGATCCTTCCTTTGATATTGAGTAACCTAAAAATGATATTTCATTACTGTTGGTTACACACTTTTTGTATTTATTGTCATACCAGCATCTCTTAGCCGGTTCAGTATATTTTCATTTTTTTCTTTTAAATCATCTTCATTTAAATCTCAACACATATATCGTCTTGATAACAGATGGTATTTTCAACATTTCCTATTACTTTTCAATAGCTTTTTGAAAAATTGCACTTGCCGTTTTTATGCCATATGGCATTCTTTTCCACCTTAACAGGCCTATAGGTGTGTTTATGGTCGTCACTTCTTTAAAATTTTCATTTATCGGTATTTGGGGGTAAGCTGATTTTAGGTCTATCTTCGAAAATACTTTCATTCCAGCAAGTTTATGTAAAGCTACTTCCACATTCGGAATAGGGTACGAGTCAGCACAAACTTTATGGTTCACCCCTATTTTATAATCTCTACAAATTCTCAGGTCACCATCTTTTTTTTTCAATACCACAATGAGTGATGCCCATTTACTTCCTCCTGGAGGGGCAGGTTCTAATAAGTCTTCCTTTATTAGCTTTCGCAATTTAGCTATTACCAACGGTAATAAATGCACTGGTATTTTTCTCGCTTCGTAGTAGGAGGGGGAAACATTTTCTTTTAATTTCAGGTTAGCTTCATAATTTTTTAATTTTCCTGTTTTTTCTATTTCTATCTCATTAATCAACTTCGTTGAATTTATTTTTAACACATCATTCCCCAGTAGTCCATGCATTTTTCGGCAATTTGTAACTATAATGGGTACTATTTCATATTTTTCTTTTAGTTCTATTGAACCTTCAAAGTAACCCATAATTGCTATAATCGAGCCATCAAACTGACGTAATTGTACGTTGTTTTTTTTAAAAACGGTTTTCCCATAAATTTCTGGGTACTACCGTATATGTTTCAGCCATTATTTCTTCGTAGGATTTATTTTTATTTTGGTTGTAGGTATGTATTAATTCCTGCTGTTGTATAAATTCTATACACATATTCAAAGGCATGTTTGTAAGTTGTAACTGTTCCATTAACTTATATCTATGTGCTGAATTATGCATACCTTTAATTAATCTTAGTTGGATTAATTCTTCTTCCGTTGTCTGCTCTCCTGTTCCTAATTTTTTGAATTCACAGTATTTACTCGCACTTCTTAACTGGTGTAAATATTTTACTATAGGTTCATCCACTTCCTGCTTCATTGCCATAAATTTGGTCCTTTCTGCAATCACCAGTCTTTTCTTTGACCTTATGTTTCCCTTAATAACCTGACTTATTTCTTCAAAAGTCATTTCTTCTAGTTCTCGAGGGTAAACCATTGTAGCAACCTTCATAATTGCTTCACAACCAGCGGTAGCCATAAACAAGTCGGTGATTTCATTTTCCCCTCCTCTGTTTTTGTTGTCTTTCAATTAGCAGCAAAGCAACGAATCCACGTATCTACGTATTCTGGGTCTTCAAGGACCAAAGAGTATCCTATCGGCGACGCCATTGTTGTGTCGTGTATATTGCTAAGTAAGCGTTCAACCTCTGTTCTAGTTGGTGTCCGTTTATCATGAGCTACCTGCTCATATGCAAATTATACTAATTTGAATCTCACTACACACGTGTCAAGAACTTTTTTTAACAAAATCTGCAAAAATAATTTCCTTAATACAGTGGGAGATTATCTCATTATTTTGATATGGATTTCTTATTTTTATTAATGGTAATACATACACACAGGACTCTACAAATAATGCCTTTTTAGTGCTATTTCACTAGAGAGGTCTTTTGTTTTTGTTTAAGTTTTTCAAACACCTATAAGTATTTTCCATAGAGAAAACTCATTTTATTTTTTTTTTCAATATTCTTTGATGCTAATATTTTTGTCCTGTTTAAAAACATTATCACAAAATAATAACTATTTGTTAATTCTGCTTGTTTCTTTTCCTATCTTGAAGTTCAATTAATCTTTTTCCAGAGAGATTCAGAATCTGAATCATTTTATGTCTCTGTTTATTTTTGCAAAATTAAAATTTATTTCTACCAACAAATTATTTTCATGAATCAGAAGTTTACCATAGTATTTTACTAATATATCTTTCATCTTAATTTGCATTTCATTGTACCTTCTCAGAACATCAGTCTAATGCCATCAATAAACAGTGTGGGTCAAAAATAAAGAATAATTTCCTGCTGAGACTTGATCTCATATCACTTTCCCTGGGGAGGCTTGTTTTTCCAAACAAGATGCTTTCATAGTTGAACTACAAGAATTCTCTGGATGGCAGAAAAATATAAAATATTAATATATATTAATATATAAAATATTAACATGAAAGAATCACTAGTTAAAACTTAATGTTTAACCATATTTGATTTTGATGCTAATAAATTTGTGTCAAACTTTTTAAAGTTTTTAATATCTTTTAAAAAATAAGTAAAAATTTAAGCTATGAAAGTAAGGGTCTGTTTTTGGATGGTCATTTTTATTTTGTTATTTATACAATGTTTTAACAACTTCTAATCTGGCATTTTTACTTCCTTTCTCAATAACATCTTGTATATTAATCAAGGTATTAATGTGTTACAATGCTACATATAGATAACTTAATCATTTCTAAATGTAGATTTTGGTCAACACGTTTGCTTACAATTATACATAATTGTAGACAGATATATGCTATTGAATCAATCTGTGTAACATGTAGGCTTCCACATAGAAGCTGTATGCTTTGAAATTAGCAATTTATATTGGGGCATTTTCATTATTAGATTACAAAATATCACTGCCATGATAACAAAGCATATGCATATGAATGCCATAAAAGTTATTCTTCATTCTGATAAGTTAAAAGTAGTGAGACTAGATCAATTAAGTTCTGATAATGACTCAGATTTTGACAGTCATTTTTCAGCAATTTTATTACATTCACTTTCTATAGAAACAATTATAACAATATATTGATTAGTGAAACTTACTCTATTATATAGCCTGAGCATAATCCTACCAGAATATGTATGGTGTAGGAGATTAACTTGTTAACTTGCGTAAAAACCTCAGAAATTAATTTAAATCTGAATTACCTTAAAATTAGTAGAAATTTGCTCTAGAAAGATTTAAGTGTTTTTGTTTCTTGATTCTTTGTTTCCAATTTCTCTGTAAAACTGTTTGTCTTTCAGATACTGGACATCTTTGAGAAATTTGGTAGCCTCTCTATTGAACAGTATGCGTTCTATTGCAAGTCTGCTGCTGCTCTTGTTTCTGTTTATTGTGATATTTGCCCTTTTGGGGATGCAACTTTTTGGTGGTAAATTTAATTTTGATGAGACACAAGCGAAGCCTCGCAGCAACTTTGACACTTTCTGGCAATCACTACTCACTGTGTTTCAGGTCAGTCAACCATTTTTATACTTATTTAATCTGTTGTACTTCTTGCTTTTGAATTTAAATCATCTCCAGATTGTTTTTCTTAAATAACTATCAATGATTCATGGAAATAATTTCTGTCTGAACTTTTTAACTGATGTTTGGTAAATTAATCACTTTCAACAACAGCAATAGTACATCAAATAAAGCCATTATGCAATAATGATCATGAAGCCAGGTATGATTTAGGAGTTTAAACATTATTAATGTAGTATCTCCTTGCAATATCTCATGTCACCAGAATTTATTGGTTCTTTTAATCTGAGAACTTGTGTCTAAAATGGAAGAAGTCATGTTCTTAAATAGCTTTGTCAGATCTAGACTCTATTGGGCCTTAAAATCCACCCAGACCTTTTAGAACTTGTACATACAATCCATCACAAAAGATGTTGGAAAAATGGTTGGTTCCCTGTACTGCTCTAGTAAATACCTGACTTTTCAGGCTACCTTCTACCTTTAGAAAATACAAATCAGGCCTAAAATGGAGTACTGCTGCCATATATGGACAGGAGCTGCTCAGTCTTCACTTTCCAGTCTTGATAGTGTCCAAAAGGGAAAGTGCTCAGATGAACTACATTCCACCAGTTCTAACCTTCACAGCTAAGACCCACCTTGCCACACACATTGTAGCAAGCCACCCTCATTCCCTTCATATTCCATTTGTGAGATGCAAGTTCTGCTCAAGCAGCTTCCTGTGAACTGCTGCTCTGTGGAACCAACTCCCAAGTGGGTGTTTTCCCAACCACTACAATTTTGGCATGTTCATGTCTGGGATTAACCATTATCTTTCCCATATATCTGTATAAACTGTGCCTCTTACTCTGTAACCCTCTACTATGAGTGGCTCCCTAGCCTTGTAAAAACAAATGGATGTTGTTCATGGCATCCAACTTGTTCAGAAAGGTCTAAACTATCCACTATATACATCTGTTTTCTCAGATCAATCATTATAAATCACTTCAAGGAAATGAATTCTTTTAGTCTTAAAGAAGACACTCGTTCATCAAATCCTATAGATTGGCACTACAGAATCACAAAGAGCTTTACCAAATAATAAAAACAACATTACTTGAAGACTTTCAGCAGCAGCAACAACTAAAATGAGTAGCAAATTAACTAGAAGAAAAAATAATGATACAATAAAGATGTTGACTTTCCTCAGTAGCTTAAATAAAAAGTTTAAACAAAACTTCTATCAATACCAAAAAATCAATAACAATGAATGTGAGAAGTCTATATTACTGAAAAATTGTTTTAAGAGAAAAACTTTATCATTTCAACAGACAGTAATGCTCACTGTTTGGTCAGTGAATGCTAAATGTTTTCTATATGGAAATGGCAAATCTTACTATTATCACAATGTGAGAATACTAGATCCATGCAAATGTAAACTGTACCTGATCCTGGATGTATATTTTTATATTTCTTCCTTTCCAGTGTAAGCAAATCCACTAGAATTTCTGTTAAATTTCTTAGATTAGGAATTATTATATAATAATTTATTAAAACAGGTATCCACTTCCAGGTTGTTATAGGCACATTATTTCAGCAATTGTACTCTTCCTTAGCTATTTGTATTTAGGAACATTATTGAAATTTCAAAGCAAACCCTTTATTCAATCCGCATGGGTAGATGTTCTTATTCAGATATCAATACCAGGAGAGATAACTAGTACTAGTTAATTCTAAATTAATTCATTCTTGTGATAATATTTATACTAGGCCAGTAGTTATGGATTTCACTGCCTGACCTAAAAATTGAATTCATGATCAACAGCTACACTGCTTACACTTAACTAACACTTGTAACCATGAGGCTATTGTTTACTGATTCAGCAATTAATCTGTTTCAATAGAAGAAGAATTAAATAAACCAAGAAATTTCTTCTCATGAACGATGAAAAGTGGACATGGATTGAATAAAGAATTCAGTTTGAAGTTTCAAGTACATTACCAAATATGGCAGGAATCTGAAGAAGGCTAGAGAGTAAAACAGCTGAAACATTGTCACTATAACAACCAGTTCAATTAAATCAGCATATAATGCTTTATAGAGATGTTGGGTTATATATAACTTGAAAATAATGAAAGGTTACAAGGCTTTAATGTTCTAAAGGTGAAAGTCTGTCATGGAGCAGTGATAAACAAATGGAACACAGCCAACTCATCTACAGCTGAGGCACCACCCAAAACTGATGCCATAAGCATATTCAGCTATGAAGGATAAACATCAGTATCAAATATGGCGTTGACTGAGGAAACCTGATAACTTTTCAAAAATAAAGAAAACAGTGATTGGTTTGAAGTCAGACTGTTTTTCATTGGTGATGGGGAAAGTCAAAGTGTTTTGGTTCTGAACCCGACTAGTCCACTCTTTGCTAGAAATTAGAACATTCTTTAAAATAAAACCAAAATAGGAGAGAAAAAGAAATACTATGACTACTACTAATAGCAATACGAATACTAACAATGGCTCCTGATATTAACTGATTGGGCATATTAACATGTACATGTTTTGTTTTGATGAATTAAGTCAACTATAGTAAATACCCCATTCAGTATAATAGATTTGCTTGCCTGACTTTAATCAGTTGGTCATGTCCCCTAGGTGCTTGATGCACTGTGCAACTCTGTTTCTGAATGGAAGTACTAGGGGTCAAGAGGATTTTCTTTTTAAGTTTGAAGGATGAGGCTGCAAAGGTGATTTGGGAGTCACATCTACATAATTAAGGATACCTCAATCAGAGACAATGTGAGCTAATTGGGCTAACTAATCTGAAGGTATTTTTTAACCAGCAAGGTTATATATTGCTTTCATCAAAACATGTTACTATATCACACATATGTGGATGTGAAGCATATTCCTAGTATATACTGATCAAAAATAGTTATATTGAGATTTGTATATTTCTATCCCAGTATGGATGCTGGCATGCTACTCCCTCATTCAATAATGATAATATTAATAATGCAGGGAAAGGTTTTAACAAAGAGAAAAAGTACCAAAAATAACAGAACAATAGGACAGTAAAAAGTGGGGTCAGTTATTTCATGCCTTCATTTAACTGAGAATTCAGTATTACCTCATTTAACCAGTGATGGATTTCAGAAAGAACTCCATCTTCTAACTTGTATCTTCTATGGTTCACTAAACTTGATATATTCATCCGCATTTTGCCAAAATCTTCCTTGGTTAATCTTTCCTTATCATATCTGATTTTTAATTGAAGCTGATTGTTAAAATGAAAGGATCCATCCAAAGATTGTTTTTGCTCACACATTCCATACAAACATTCTAGTCATTGTTAGCAACATGGAAAACATTTTTTTGATTTCTGTCCATGCTGGTGATACATTGTCACACACCAAGACAACATTCAATATAAGGTAACAACTGGTATACTAATATATACTAATTCCTAAATCTGGTTATAGAGTGTGCAAATATTAATTATGGTTGAATATGTACTCAACCATTTAAGTTAAGCCATGACAAATATTGCACTCTTGCCAATTCACTATATTGGCCTGAAGAAAAGTTGTTGACTGCCACTGCATTCAAAATCAAACAAATGAACAAAAACACAGAACTGATGAGGAAATCAGCATCTGGTAACTCAAGTTGTTTACTGAGAAGATCCCAGGTATGCCTCTCTATGATGTTCCAATATAGTGCCAGCTCAGCATCTTCAGATTTCAATATAATCAGATCGCTAAAACACTTTCTTAGTGCTTGAACCATTAAAGCTAAGGAAGAACTCAGTTCACAATTATCAGAATTCTTTTCATTCATAAATCCAGAGTCTTTCAACTAGGAATTAGTTTCAAAGTGGAATTTTACCATTGATTTTTTTTATATGAGTGTGGGGGGGTGATTAAAAGTTATTGGCCCAACCAAATAGACCTTTCAAAATGAATTCTGCTGCTTGGTCAGATTTTGGAAAGTGGATCAGTGTGAAAACTTTTTAGTGCCTCTTTACATATATATATATATATATATATATATTTACAAAGTTTGGTTTAGTCCAGCACAAGAGTTAAGAACTCAGTGAGCATCAAACTCATTAAACAGTAGTAGTGATCTGCTAGACAAGATTACTATTAAGTATCTACTAATCTTTACTTTGAAATTGATACAAGGTGACAAGCATAGAGCACCAAGTGAAAACTGAATTCAAGAATACTAGTAATTCTTAAGAAGTAAGCTCCCAGGGGTGGATTTTCAAATCTAATGGGAGGAATTTTATCCAAGGGGAATTTCACTCATATGTGTATGTCATTAATATCATACTGATCAAATTTCTGTTTATGGGTTGATTAATATAATACAAAAAGGCAACTGTGTAATAATATTATAGCCAATTTTGTATATATTAATATTATAGTAATATTACAAAGATAATGTATTGAGATTTTTATTAATGCAGTACCATTAAAATGTATTAATTTTTAAAATAAAACAAAATCCAGTCTAATTTGCAACTTAATCATAATGTGAAGTCAGTATTTACACTTACCTGATAATATTGATGTAATTTTTGTACTATTGTGTCTTACTTATCCAAGGGAGATAATTCCAGATTTAGTAACTACTAATTACAGAGTATATATTCTTATTTGAACAATTGAATATTAACTATTATTATTATTGTTGTTTGTTTTAACCAGTATTTATTTTCATCTTAAAATTTTAGTTACTATGCTCAGATTATTAATCTTTACTCATTGCAATCAATTAATGGCCCAGGTAAAGTTGTGATAAAATGGAACAAAAGATCAAGATGAATGTAAATACTAATCAAAATTATTATTATTATTATTATTAATAATAATAATAATACTTTATCGATTAAAAAAAATAAAATAACACTACTGCTACTAATATCACTAGTGTTAAAAACAAAAATAAATTAAGTATTAAGAAAGATCATGGAATTAAGTATGTATTTAAAAGGTTAAATTTGATTTTCTGCAAGATATTGGATTCTTGTCATTTAGAACAGCTGAGGCTTTCATGTGCTGCCTACGACTAGCATAAATTGACAACCTGAGGAAAGTTGCAATAAAAAAACAATTAAGATATTTATATGATGGTACATATAAATCAAATCAAAATTATTAATGATAACAATTGATAATGCATCATCTAATAACAAAATTAAAGATAATATAACTGAATATTAGTTCTGAAGCACATATTTTCGTTAATCATATTTGTATTGTTTATTGCATTTTATATATACACACATATATTTTTTAGATCCTGACTGGTGAGGACTGGAATGAAGTGATGTACAATGGTATCAAAGCATATGGGGGTGTTCGCAATGTTGGATTTCTTGTCTGCCTATATTTTGTTATACTATTCATTTGTGGTAATTGTATCCTTTTTTTTTGCAAATTGAATTTTTGTCTGTTGTTTTTCATGATTATTGCATCTATTTTTTTTTTTTTTTTTTTTTTTTTTAAGCATTTCACCCCAAGCAAGGCGGGAAGCCACTAGGATGCAAGGGGTTACAGAAAATTTAGAGCAAGATCAGATAGGAGTGATAGAAGAAAGGATGAGGGTAGTGGATAGATCAAGGCAACTGGAGATGTCGATTGACATTACACTTGAATAGCTGGAGATTATAGCTCACAGGGAAACAGGAGAAGGGAAAGGAGTTCCACAGGTGAGAGGTGCGAGACATGAAGCTATTAGAGTAGAAGAGACAGATACATTTAGGAGTTTTGACAGTGAAGGGGTGAGAGCGGGATGCCAGCTTCGTAGGGCGCTGGAACTCCAACGGCCAATCCTTCGCCCTCACCAAGTACTGGGCTTGGGAGATATGCTTTTAATAAGATTTAGAAGCAGGAGATAGAAACGGCTAAAACAATTCCAAGTTCAGACAATATATCAAGCAAAAAGGTAGTGTCACAACATCGTTAGAATACTGACAAGACACCTTCGCATCTAGTCAAAGACATTTAATTTTCCATTTTTTTTTTTTTTTTTTTTTTTTTTATCTTTCAACCGGGATTTCTTACTAAACTATCAAATAAGGGAAATCATTGGGACAAAAAATGCCTTTGACATAGGAAAATTTAAAACGAAAAAAAAAAAAATACAAAAGAAAAATGTAAATGGGTTTCTGCTAGAGCGAAACTATACTCACATGGGCCAGCAAGTCGTTGTCTGTCTTCTTCCTCATGATGGTGACTGAATGTACAGCTTACCTTATGTCCAAGCATCGACCTGGTGGGGGTTGGAATCAACAGCCAATCCTCCGCCCTCACCAAGTACTGGGCTTGGGAGATATGCTTTCAATAAAATTTAGAACAGGAGATAGAAGCGGCTAAAACAATTCCAATTTCAGACAATATATCAAACAAAAAGATACTGTCACAACATCGTTAGAATACTGATGAGACACCTTCGCATCTAGTCAAAGATATTTAATTTTCCATTTTTTACACTCATGTCTACATATTGACCTAACGTTTTCGGACTATTGTCTTCATCTTTTTTTTTAAAAAGCTTATACATTCTTTGACTTTTCTCAGATATTACACTTTGTATTTAGAATTGACTTAACTCTGTTTTTATTTTTTTTAAAAATTGTGAATTGAATTCTAAATAAAATAGATTTCTGTAAGACATGGAATAATGAAAATACTTTATTACAAAATTTAAGATAACAGCTAATTAGAATTTTTTAACATTATGCATCTTTGGATTTCTTTCCATTATTATCTGTGAATTGCTATGACTTCTTGAGAAAGATAGTGAAATAGTCACAATGTAGCAATCCTGTTGCTATTCTATCACTATTTCCATGGCAAGTGTTCAGATGATCTCCATTCTTTAGCTCCACCAGATCAGGTCTTTACAGTCTCGACATGATCTGTTACTTCCACAAAATCGAAACAGCCTAATTTCTTCCATGTTCCAAAGCTAAGAAGAGAGTTCCACCCAGATTTTTTTCTTTTCCAAAAAAATGTCGCTTTGTGATACAGACTCCCACATGAGTGCTTTCCTGAATGCTACAATCTTGCCTCCTGCATATGACAATAAACTACATCTGCATCCTGGGTATGATGATAAACTACATCTGGCAGCAAGGCCTCTGATCCATAGGTTATGAAGTGCATCGAACCACCTCTTAAAACAGGATATACTATAGTATATTGTGGGGAAATGCAATAAATTCAATAAATAAAATAATAACAAAGAATTAAAAAAAAAAAAAAAAAAACAGACAAAGAAATTTTCCTATTATTCTAGTAATAAAGGAAACAGGGGTTTTGGTCATCTGTGAAATTTTTATGACCCCCCCCTCCTCCCCACTTTAGGAAAGGACAGAACCATTCTCTTTCTACTTTCCAACATATACCATTAGCACATGTTTTACAGCTCCACCCATGAAGTAAATAAAAACTTTTACTGTGATCGTTCACAAGCTGACTTGAGCTCAACCATTATGACTATTCTTATCCTTACTTATCTTTACTTATCTTTACTTACTTCTGGATCTGAAAAAGAAAATGAACATACCCAAAAGACATTGAGAACTTTGTTTCTCTACCATTACTATAAAAAAAAGAAGAAATGGTCCATAGTAGAAACCCATGTTTTTTTATTGCTTCTACATTAATTGTTTATATATGAACATGCACACCTATGATGCACCAACACATGACATTAAATTCCATAATATCACTCACCTCAGATGGTGCCAGAATAGACTTTTCATTCAGTGCCCTCCAAGAAAGGTTTAGTGTTTATTACAAATGTTTCTATTGGCCAGTACATAAAACAATGAAAGTTAAAATCTTACGACATATTTCCCTTTTTTTTTTTTTTTTTTTACAAAATATGTATCAGCTAGTATTGTTAGCATTATAAATGTTGCGGCTGAGATTAATTCTATCACTTTTATGTTGTCTTTGTAATGACATGAATGTAACTCTTGCTATGCTCTGTCCCATTGTCATAAATATCACCCAAGTATTTATTACTGACATTATAGATTGAAAAAAAAAAGCATAGGTAAATTTGCACATAAGAAATCAACTCTCCAAAAATGATGTTATTAAAAAAAAAAAGAAAAAAAAAAAAAAAAAGTGATTGCTTTATTCACTGTCTACAATGGAGGACAGTTATCCTGGAATCTAGTGTAAAAATTTATTTTGGTCATCATTTATTCTTGTTGACCCTTAACCTTTAATCCAGATATCCTCCTGAATGTCTTCTTGGCTATTGCTGTGGACAACTTGGCTGATGCTCAGTCTCTCACGGAAATTGAGCAGGAAAAAGAAGAAGAAAAAGCACGAAGTCAGTCAATCCGAAGATCCAAAAGTAAATCCCCTGGCCAAGAAGACAAAGAAGGTGAAGTAAAGGTAAATGACTTAACATTTTTAATTAATGAAAAGTAATTTCAAGTTAACTGAAATAAGTTAGATTGTTTCCATAATTAACTTTTGTAAGCAAGTATTTCTTGTTATTAGTGTTTTTTATTGAATTTTTTGTAAACCCAAATAGTAGATTCTTACAATACAGTTTACAGTAATCCAGTATATGACATGTTTATTACACAGATTGCAGTAAACTAAAATAGAATTTTGTAATATTTGCTGTAGCAAACCAGAATATTAGTTTTCCAATTCATAAGTTTCCAATGGAAAAGAAGTGATTGTAATATGCTGCTCCAATCAGAACATGACATATTTTATATATAGTGTTGCTCTGTATTGTATTGTTATTAATAACTGTCTTCAATAATTTATAACCAAACCAGATTCAATATTATTACTTTTAAATCCTTATTTCAAATTAATTCATATGTAAAATTCTATTACTCTACATAATTAACACTTAAATGTGATCTTCAGAAATTAGGGCTCAACTCACTTTGCTTTTTCCTAGGCATAAAAATAATGAACTGCCATCTTTGTTTGAAGAAGCAATATCTAAAATGTCCTTTTTGGGATTAGATGCAGACAGTATTTTACAACTTAGCACAGAATTTTAGACATATTTTTTTGTGGAAGAAACTATAATTCAAGATTTAAAGTGTGAAAACATCTAGTTAAGAGTTGTATATGTACAGAATTTTCATTGCTTAATTAATATTTAAACTGAAAATAAAGATATAACTATGATATCAACCTCACTGACAAAAACAAAAGATTTGGAAGGAAACTTTCATTGATACTAGAAATAGCAATAATAATAAACTTGAATTCTAATTTCCTGAAAACTTGGAGAAAAAGATTTTATAGATTTCAACCTACAGTAATGCTAAATTTGATGAATGAATGTTTTCTGTATGAAAATGGCTAATTTTATAATTACCATTTTGTCAGCCATTTCTTTCATGCGGGATCAACTTTATTAAGAATGTTACAAAGAATGGTTGCTTATAAAAATCACAAAGAAACTTAGAGAGAGCACCAGGCAAAACCCAATGATTAAAACAAATATGGTGAAGATGCTAGTTGTTATACTGGAACACACCTATTCTATAGTTAATAGACTCTCCCACCTATAATAAGTAGTAGTAGTAGTAGCAGTCGCAAAGTCCCTGAGTGAGTTGGTCAGTCAGTCGATGTCGGACATTAAAGTATCAGCCACTACAACTGGATTGCTGCGTCATTAACTATTATATCAAGTTCCTAACGTTTTGTACGTCGAACCTTTTTAGGACCGACTTAGTGAAATACAAGCCCCCACTGTGAAACTACTCTATAACACTAGTCTGAATGATCCTGTGAATAATCGCAGAACTGCATCTTGGAATTTCACTTAACATTCATTGAATATCTTTATGTACTTTAAGTAAGAGCAGTTTTTCCCCAAAACAGTATAATTGATTGTAAGAATCACTTTGTCTCAAAACAAAATTAAAATAGTCCCACGAAGTTGGAGTTAGAAACATTTTGCTTGTACTGATGCACAGAATTATTTGTAGAATAATTTTGTTTTTATTACAAATATTTTTCATGTCATTTCAGGCAATCGAGGAAGATGAAGGAGTAGGACTGAACAGTAATGGCGAAGGAGAAAGTTCACGGTAATTTAGATATTTTTTAAAATTCCATTTTGAATTGTTTTTTTTTATAGATATCTGAAGTTACCAAGCATTAGTTTTTTGTTTTTTTTCCTTATTTTAGATTATCACTTTTTTTTAATAATTTAATCCAATTCACATTTTAATTAAGCTGAAATATAAAAAATACATTTTGAGTAATGTTTAACCTTTGTGTCTGCACAGAGATGTTGTATCAAAAGGTTGGTTATTCCCTTGACACTGCTATTGCTGCATACACTTTTGATTCCTTCAACTATGTTCATTATTTTAAAAAGTGAAATAGATATAGTATATACAGTAATAGTGATGTGAAAGGAATATCAGTCTTTTTAACGCACTTTTTTTGGGTTTTTTTTTTTTTTAGTGGACATGCCAAATTTTTTATAAATAAATGAAAAAGTAGAGATTTGATGTTATAATTTAAATAAATTTTTTTGCTTGATTTTTAAGAATTGTAGGATTTATATATTTATTTAGCTGTGTGGCTAAGGTAATTGCATAATCTCATTGGCATTATGAGCTGGTGTTTGAGTTAATAGAATCTTCCTAAACACATTATTTAGCCCTATATGATGTACTGAACTATCATATTGTGATATTTCTACTTGTGGCAGATTGCAAACTTGACTTAATACTCGTTTTTAAGAATTTCAATCATTGAGAGATTTTTTAGGCCTAGTCATCACTGCAAGCCATCAAGCTGCTGGGGGATAGGTACTTTTATCAAGACACCATCTGTAAATAGATTGTCAACTAAAGTTAAATAGCTTCTATCTGCTCATTTGGACTTGTGATTTCATGCTGGCACAGCCATTTACAAGGCTTGAGTCAACCTGTAGACACATGGTTTACAGGCACTTCCCAACAGTGTCACACACTAGAATCAACTTCCTTGACAAATCAACAACAGTGAGATTTGAACCTGAGTCACATGGTTGGAATATTAACACTTATTAAGCTTAGCTCTGTGGCCAAGTGGTCACACTTGGCCACAGAGCTAAGCTTAATAAATGGCAATATAAAGAGAAATCTTTAGTCATATGTTAGTATTTGAGCCCAAATTCAAAACCAAGATTTTGAATGCTGATTTTCAAGACAAGTTGGTCCACTTTGAAGATTGGTACTGCACAACTTACCATCAGGCCACTGTTTTGAAGTGGTACTAAGCTAAGCTTCCTAAATATCACCAGTGTAGTTCAAACCTATTTTTTGTTCGTAGACATTGCTTAATTCTTAAAGTATTATTGGATTTATTGAAAACTCTTATTAAGATATTTTTTTAACATGCTAAGACACAAGAGATTAAGAATAAAAAAAGGAAAACAATAGAAGAGTAATCAAGAAGACACTAGATAAGCTTGGTTGGTATCTATATTTCATATATTTAACAAAAAGAAAATAAATTAAAATGCTGTTTTTATATGCTCTTAATGAAACTTTTTTGGTTACATTCTTAGTTTATAAATTAGGATCAGCCATAGAAACATATCTAAGGTGAAGTCCTCAGGCTGAAGTAATTTCAATTTCCAGTATCAATAGAATCCGAAGCCAAAGAGCAGTTTAAATTGCAATCAAAGAAGTGTAATAAATTTTGTAAAAATTATAAAGATTAGCTAAACATTGTAGATAATATTAAACTTGTATTTTTAAATACAACTCTACTTAAGATAATGGTTAAACATTGCATTGAAGATAAATTTTGTCCAATGTTGTAGATAAATAGAAAACACCTTAACATGTCCAAAGAATAAATTTCTCTTCTATTCATAATTTTAATGCAATATTAAAAAAAAAAAAATGAATTTTCACCCACAACAATGGATGAGTGTTCTCTCAGGGAGGTCCCATGCCTTGAGCACCCATTGGGACTTAAAATTAACCCAACACTCAAGTGGAACTCATACATATGATCCATTGGTAAAGATACTGGAAAAATGGTTGGTTACCTGTCTTCATCAACCTGTGTGTGGTTGGTTGAAACTCCATTAACAATCCCTTTCCACACTGCTTGGTCCTGCATTGCCATTCCTAGGTCACCAATGTCTATCACTTAGCCCTGAACCATGGTGTCTGGGAAAGTCAACTTTCACAAAAAGATACCTCCAGAAGGTTGCCATAGAAGTAAGGATGAAATGAACTCCTCATCCACTCAGTGGCAGGCAAACTGCAATCACTTTTGTTTGAGCTTAAGAGAGATTGGTCTCAGTTCTCCATAAATTGTGTTAAGCATTGCATGGGATCTCCAACTGGATTTTTCTAAGCAGATCTGTATATGTTCCATCCAGTCATCTTTCAAGATGAACAGATAATGTCCAAGTTTCTGATCCATACACTAAAACTGGTTCAATCAGTGTTTGAAAGGTTTGGACTTTTAAAGAGGATGGAAGGTTTGAGCCCCAAATATTATGAAGTTTTTTAAATGCATCCCATGCAAGAGTTTTCAGATGTTGAAGTCTTTTTGGGAATCTATTATGTAAGATCCAAGATATTTGGAATCCTCAAGTCTTTTGGTGGATGTATCATTGAGTCGGATGGTTCAGGGGAGGTTGTGATATATTCTGTCTTACATTGCAATAAAGACAAACCTGGTTCATTGCTTGCTCAAGTGATTTTGACAATACCCAATCATGAGAAAGGCTTTGGGAATAAACCCTGAGGACAAATCCAGAGCTGGAGTCTCTAACAGAGTCTGTGGAAATTCAAATTCCAAGTTTGTGTCTGGCATGGGATAATTCACTTCATGGCTTGAAAGAAATCTTTAGCCTTGGATGGCAGTCTTTCTAGAGATGTTGTTTCGACAAAAACACCCGGATGTAGGGTTGACATCCCACATTTTGTATCGGCTACTAAAAGAATGGTTTCCTGCACTGCTCCAGTAAGTACCTATCTTCTACAATCCTCTACCTTTACAACAGCCAGATTAGGCAGAAAATGGAATATTACTGTCATATATGGGAAGGAGTTGCCTAGTCTTCACTTTCCACTCTCAACAGAGTACAAAAGCATCTCGGCGTCCTTGTGGATGACAAATAATTTTCCACCCTACAACCCCTTTCCCACAGATGAAATATCATAAGTCTCTTGCTGCTCTATTACTATTTCTACGGAAAGTATTCAGATGAACTACATTCCTTAGTTTCACCAGTTCTTGCCTTCACAGCTCAGACCCATCATACCATACACATTGTAGCAAACCACACTCATTCCCTTCATATTTCATTGGTGAGATGTAAGTTCCACTCGAGCAGCTTCTTCCCATGAACTGAGAGAGCTGGGTTCCAACTCCAGTCAGTTTTGTTATATTCACTTATGCACAAATACACATGTGAAAAGTGTGAATCCACTTCATTTCCCCCCAGTTATGGGTTAGTTAGTAGGACTTGTATCAATAGATCATTATTTTCTACAAAAATTCTTAAAATCTAAAAATATTTTCTGGCTTTAAATAACCTGAAAAATAAACATTTTTTTTTATTTTAATAATCATTACTCTTTGATGAATTGCTTAGAAATATTTACTTAACTTAGTCTGTGAGAATTGAACTCATCACAGTCACATTGACTTGTTCAGCCAACTTGGTAACCACTGCTCCCCAGTAATGCTTTTTAAATAGATATGTTGAGGGATTCTATGATCAGATAAAAATAAGTCACCATTATGTTGTGGGTATCATTTCTTTGTTTGCAAAGTGTATAGACATTTTATAGTGAATATTTATGTGTTCCTGGAACAGTTGTCTTGTAACAATATTGGTGGACTCCTATTAGTCCAGATAAATATAAATAACACAAAAAAATGAATTTAAAACAAATTATAATTAATGCATGTATTAACAAAAGTATTTACATATATACACAATTGTAATAAAAGGAAAAGACATTAAAACTAGCTATGATAATGTGTGTGTGTGTGTGTGTGTGTAATAAGCATGTGTGGTAGATAATTGTGTGTGAGAGAGTTCAAAAGTCAACAGATGAAGAAAAAATGAATATGTTTCAGTAGCAGCATTCTTTACCTATGTTTGACTACATCTGGAAGCAAAAGTTAAAAAGAGGAAGAGAGAGACTATGATTACCTTTTTATAGACTTCAAGAGCACTCTCTAACACATTTTTGACAAAGCCAAGTGGGGTAACTCATAGATATTTACTAATCAGTGTTGGATTAACTTTCTTTCCTCTTGCCTAATTATTCTGCCCTGAGCTTGGCCAGTCAGTGAAACACTGTTCATAGGACAGTTTTGTGGGGTCAATGCCATAAAGAGAAGATGCTTTTCTGAAATGTAAAAAAAACGCCACCTCTAGTGACATGACATACTGCATTTGTGAGTAGAGATCGACTTTTGTAATATTTGCTAGCTTTCCTTTTCATAATCTGAGAGAAGGCATTTCTACATTTTATTAGCATCTTTCCATTCTATAAAATAAAACCTTTATTTACATTCTTACAATTTCTCTCTAGCCATCTTTTTGTTTTTTTTGTTTTTAATATTTGGGTAAATATCTGTACCTATGACAAGTACTATTTAGGCCTCCTACATATATTTGGTAAACCCAACAAAAGCTTAGTCTGGAACAAATGTGCAGTACACAGTGAAGAACAGATTTTCTACACCAGCAAACTGATCTACAAAGCAAACTTGTTAACTAATGCATCATATTTGGCTCTCAAGGAAGTAAAGTTGTTTGTTGTTTTTTTTTTTTTTATTGCTATCTATATTGTAAATCCTTTTCTGTTATCTTGACTATGGAGAAGTCTGAAGAAATTTTAACAACCTTAGACTCAACAAAGACATGAACAATATTTTTGAAACAGATTTATACATTTGCTTCTTCTAATAAATAACTGTTTTGTTTTTCTTTCAGAAACAGAGACAGTGCAGATGACCCACATGTCAGAATTGACTTAAACAGTGATGAAGTTAGTGGAGAATATAGAGAGAATAAGCAGGTTCCAAGTCATGGTAATTAACAACCAAATACACTGTTTACTGATTTAGAACTTTTAACACATTACAAAAAATATTTAAATAATTGCATCCAATTTCTATAATCACCTAAAATAGGACAAATAACTAGAAAAATAATTCTATTTTTTTATACTGGAATACGACAAAGTTTAAATCCTGAGAATCTTATAATTATTTTTGTTTTCCAAATTTTCTTTATAAAAACAAAAAAATGAATAGCTCAACTTAAATCCACTTGTTTAGTGATAAATCCTTCATTGATATTAGTAGCAAAATGTAACTTTAGTCTCTTATAAATATTATATATTATATATAAGGTTGTTTCATTGACGGATCAAAGTCAGCAGTAAGTAAATCAGTGTTATTGATGAATATTTATTTATTTCTCTATTGGATCATGTTATTTAAGTCATGGCAATCATGTGCAAAAAATAATATCATCCAAATGTCCACCAAATCTGAAATAAAAAGAAAAAATTATTAGATGCTTTAAATTAATTCACATTTAAAATCAGTCCAAGTTATTGGAACACCCTTTATTATACAAATACCAAAATTATAAATTAAGTACCAGGGTAGGGGATCTTTTATTTACTCTTTTTTAAATTTATATTTTACTACCTTTATCATAAGAATATATTGCCAAGGAAGCAATTAACTACTTTTTATTATACCCCTCAGATGAAAACTTCAGTCACTTTATGCATTCTGTTGAAACAAAAAAGAGCAACATAGCACACTTTGATTCTTAAGAGTTTTGTGATTAAACTTATTATTGATACTTGAATAAAGTGACTTTTTTTTTCTTTCTAGAAGAAGAAGAAGTAGCTGAAGATCAAGGAACTGAAGATGAAGCAGTTGAAGGAGAGGAAGATGAATCTCAGACGGTTTCTACAGCACGTCCGAGGAGAATGTCAGAAGTCAAAATGCCTGACAAGTTCAAACCTATACCAAAAGCCAGTGCTTTGTTTATTTTTTCACATGACAATAGGTAAGTCAGTTGTACCAAAGAACCATTTTACTTAAGTTTGTTATACAAATGACTACCCCTAAATGAATAACTGATCCTGCCTAAGTAGCCATCTCCAAATGTGACCATCTTTAAATGACCAAATAATCATCAAAAAATTGTTCTGCAATGTCTCGTATGAATTTTATTTCTTTTCAATTTATTTCATACAACAAATTACACAGCTTTTATTTCAATTACATATGTTACTTAGAATGATTACTTCACTACTTAGGTTAATATTAAAACAGCCTTAGTTGACAATATGTGATAGATGTCTTAAAAAGGTACTGTTGATTATTTGCAGCTAATTTGTTTCAATAATTCACTGGCTATTGTTATATTATGTGGTAATAATTGTAAGTAACATGATGCACTAAAATAAGTAACCAAGTAATCATTTTAATTTAATGGGTGGGGAAATTTAAATTGTTATCTTCTCAAATAATCTTCATCTGGAATTAAAAATCATCTGTAGAAATTGTTGTTGGTAGGAATTACTAAACTTAATAATGCTATTTTTTCATTCCTTTTGAATTTATCTCTTCTTTAAAATAAGCCACTGAACTTTGAAATCAGGCATTTTCTGTCAAAATCTAATGGAGGAAAACATTATCAGCACCAGAACCAAAATATAACAAATAATTTTTAATGTATTTAATATCATTTAATATTAGGATTTAAAATTTTAAAACACATTTTATACACTAGTTCACCTTGTCTTAAAAACATTCAAACTTTTTAAGTTTTGCAAATAAATATGCAAAATATTGATTTCTTACACTATTTATATTCTATTTTTCTCATCTTTGTTGTTGTTATCACAACATTTCGGCTGTTGTGCCTTTTGGCCTTCCTCAGGTGTATATTGATTTGGGTAATCTACAGAGAATTCTGAACCAAACTATTTATTTAATCTATGGGGGTAGACTGTTCTTGTTCCACTGCTTGGTCTCCTAAGAACTCAGTGAATAAAACAAACAAAAAAATGTGCAAATATTTTTGGATACCTAAAATTTACACAATGAATGCACATTTATGCTGTTGCCCAAACTAATCTAAATGCACAGAATTTTAACTTTTTAAATTTTCCATGAACTGATTGGCCAAATCTCTTTTAATCAGAAAGAAATAGGAGTAACTATTTAAATTACTTGATGTTCTCAAACTAGCTTATTGTCTGCATTGTGTGGGCAGCCATTTCTTTTTAATTGTTTATATTTTAGCAACTGCTACTACTCCAGTGGTTTTGTAGTGATATGTAAATGAGGTGCTGTATAAAAGGTAGTATCGCTATAACTCTGGGAGAGTTACCTTCACTTGACGAGAATACATCAAAATACCTATCACAACAACATAGCGTTGCCGATCGGTTATTTAACCACGATGGAGGATTGGAAATATATTGAAACCTGACTCACATGTTTTGAAGCATCGGCAAGAGTGAAAAAGTTAAAGAATACCAAAGCTAGTGGAGGAGAAAATGAAGTTACGGATTTGTTTTTGGCCTCAGCAGGATGTGAGCCCTTTAAAAAAATCTCTGTCATGATCTATCTCCAAATGTTGGAAGATTTAGCCTATGAAGAAATTGCTGCCATCATAAAAGCAAATATACAATCAAAAAAAAGATTGGTCATAGTAGAAAGAGTTAAATTTCTCAAAAGTAGACAGAGACTGGACAAAACTATTATACAATATGTACAGTGATTGAAAGAAGTGTCAAGATATTGTGAGTTTGAAAGAATGGATTTGAAACAATTGTCTATTGAAGACAAGCTAATTTTGCTAAGATTGATTGAGGGAATGTTTGGCATCTCGTACAAGCGGGAAATTCTAGAGCAGCTTCAAGCACATAATATAAATCTGAAAGCATGTGTGGAGTTCTTACAACAATTGCAATTGATTACAATTTTAATGCTTCCAAAGGCAGCATGGAGACTTACATTGCTACTAAAAGCAGATATTTCAATAAAGAACATAAAAAGAGCAAAAATAAGTGTTCAGCCTTTGGGAAATAGTATTTTAAGTGCAAAAAGAGGAATCATTTCCAGACTGTATACACATATGAAAAGTGAGTGGAAAAAGTGGAAAATATAGATCCTCTGATTGAAAGTACAGAAGTATTTGAAATAAAAGCACAAGATAAAAGTAGAGAAATGGTGAAGTTGAACAGAGCAACTTTACTCATGCAGGTGAATACTGGAAGTGATGTTATGTGGATACCAAGGAATTTTGGGGAAAGATTGTGTAGACCAAAGTTAAAGAAACGTAATCTCCAGTTGAAACAGTTTGATGGGTCAATCATCAAAATTTTAGAATTCTTTTGAAGGCATGTTTAAGACAAAAAACAGATTTGAGATAATACCCATCATAGCTATGGAAAACATCAAAAGCCACAGTCTTTTAGGAATTGACATGTTAAGAGTGGATACAAAGCTGATGAAGTCTGTAGAACCAAATGTTGAATTATTAAGGGGATATGAGGTGAGTATTCAGCTTAAAGAAAGCAATCAACCCACATATTTTCAAGCCTGAAAAGTTTCTGTTCTACCCTTGGTGGTTGCTCAGTTGAACAAGGAATATTAGAAAAAATCAGCCAGGGTGATAACAATTGGGCTTCACCTATTCTGGTGATATGCATGTGCAATGGATATTTAAAAATTTGTGGCAGTTATAAGGTGGGTGTAGATCACCAGATCTGTTCAGAGTGTGGAAGGAAATACATTGCTAAAGATGACCTTAAGTCAGCATATAATCAGATAAAAATTGATAGCAAGTTTCAAGAAGTCACCACAATGAACACCTCTATTGGATTAATAAGATAGACTTGACTGCCATTTGGAGTAAAAACATCAAGTCACATTTTCCAAAAAGCCATCAAAAAGGTTTTAGAGGGAATTAAAAATATAATTGTATATCAGGATGACATTGGCATTGGTGCATGCATTAAAGAAGAGCTCAAAAGTAAAATGGAGCAAGTTAAATAGCACAGATTTGACAATTAATCACAATAAATGCGAGTTTAATAGTGAAAAAATTTCATACCTAGGATATCAAATATCCAAAGACAGTATATCACCAGATTCATTAATAAATAAATTCATTAATAAGATATCAGAGATAGTTACATCCAGAAATAAAAAAGAGAATCTTTTTCTAGGATTAACCAATTCCTATAACAGATATCTGCCACAATATAGTGACCTTGTGGAAACATTTAACAAAATAAGGAAGAAGAATACTGAATTTCAATCAACAAAAAGACAGACAGCTGCTTTTTAGAAATTAAAAAAAGCACTCATAAACAAACCAGTTGTTAAAATTTTCGACCCAGCGAAAGAATTGATGTTAACTACTGATGCCAGTGACCATGCTATAGCCACAATATTGTCACAAGAGGATCACCCAGTAATGTACTTATTCAGAAAACTAACATCAGTGGAGGCAAATTATTCAAATATTGACAAACAGACATTGGCAATTGTGTGGAACATGGAAAGAGCAAGAAATTTTTTCTGGGAAAGAAATTTCTATTAAAATCTGATCATAAGTCTTTGTAATTTATATTCAACCCCAGAAGAGTTGCCAAAGGTCAAATCTGCTAGGTCCACATAGCTGACCAATAAAATCCTGAAGTTGGATACAAGAAAAAAAATTAACTTTTTAAACCCTAAAAACCAGATAATTATACAAAATTTATTTACGCTATATATATATTGTTCAGACTGTTGTCCTCATCTTCATTGCCATATTCACAAGATTTCAGTAATTGTACACTCCAGCCTACTTCAGGTGATTTGAATTTTGAACTGAACTCTTTATTTCATCCACTGGAGTAGATTGGTTTAGTTCCACATGCCATGCCTCTTCTGGAGGAACAAAATTTATTGAACATTTGAGAAATTATTTGGTAATAAATAGAATTAATTTTTTAAAGCTTTTTAAAAAATTTGTAGGAATATTTTAAGTCTGTCATTAGATTAAAGTAAACATGCACATGTACAAACATACATACATACACAATTTAAATAAAATTGAAATAAATGTCTGTGTTGCAGGTTAACCCCTGGGTAATAGATTGGTTTGGTTTTGTCATTTTTGTTTAGTGGCATATCAACCCCTGTGTTATTTAATGCTGAAATTTAAATATTTTATATGCAATTTTATTTATTTTTTGAGATAATAATTGTTTTAGTGATACAAGTCTTACTAATTAATGTATAGCTAAAGGGAGAAGTGGTGGATTCATGCCTTTCTCAAGGGTATTTGCACATGTGAATGTAACAAACCCAACTGGAATTAGAACACTGCTCTCCATTTAACAATTCCAAGCAATTATCCATTACACCACTTGCATATCCAAGCTTACAGCATCGGCTATACCCAAGTGGTCACCCACCTAGGTAATGACCAGGTTCAATGTTGCTTAACGAGCGATTATATGCAAACTGGTGTTTCAATGTGAGGTAGCCATAAGAAAAAGAGTGTGCCCTTTTTTAAATCATTTTTATGGCTTCTGTATTTAAACTGAGTATATTTTCTAATAAGTGTAGTATTTTAAATAGGCAAACCATATTTTAAAATTTCATCATTTTGCCTTCTGCGAAGCAACATGTACTAAACTTGCTAATATTAATAAAAAAGTAAAAATAAATTCTATATATGCAAGGGTATAAGTTTACCATTAAAATTTCAGTGTCTTCTAAAGTTTATACTTGTATTTGGTGAATAGATCACTTTCCATCAAATATGGCTGCATCACTTGAAACAGACGAGTTCTAAAGTCTAAGTGGTATTGATCCATTTCTCTTTACACTTTGTCACAACATAATAATGTCTTGTCACTGGCATGTCAAGATGTTTGATAGATAAGAGTTTAGTGGTTAAAAATCTATTTACTAGGTACTAGAAGCAAAATGCTGCTATCCTCATAGTTAACCTTGATTGAAGTGTAATAAAATTTTCAAATTCATTAAATTTTAACTATTGATTTATTTAAAAAATTTACTTGCTTAAATTTGACAAAAATTGAATTATTTTATCTTCTGTATTGCTTCTTTTTCAGATTCCGTGTGTTTTGTCATTTTATCTGCAATCATAATTATTTTGGAAATTTTATATTGGCCTGCATTCTCATAAGCAGTGCCATGTTAGCTGCTGAAGATCCTCTTGACCAATCTGCTGAAAGAAGTAAAGTAAGTGTTTTTTGTTACAGACGAATTGTATAGATTCATAAGAAAACAATCATCAAATTTTTATGACAAGATCAATTCTGTTAATCCCATAATCACTCTTTAAAACCAAACACTAAATTCAATTTAATCAAAACAAAAATTAAAACTAAATAAAATTTGTTTCGTTTTTAGGCTGCCATAGGTTATTTGAAAAAATTGCCTCTAGTATTTCTAGGAATTGTCTCCCCTTTAGAGGGACAAAAAAGTCTAGTGAAAGTTAACGCCAGTCAACACTGATGTCGGTAATTATAAAGCTTCCCTTTCAAGTCAATACATTGAAATACATTACCACACTATAAAATCATTTTTTTAATATATGCCCAAATTAAGTTAATTTCATATTAAATTTTGAAAAATTACAAGAATATGCACAGAGCAGTATTTGCAAAAGCTGTCAGAGGTCTCTGTGATTTGTTATATAAAATATTTTTTATTATTGATTTTCAAGTTGTGTGCAACTAGATAAATTCAAAGGGTATTGTTACTACAAAAACAGAAGCCATATCAGTTTAAAAACAGTAATACTGGAAATCATTGGTCAGCTTTTCCTTCACCTTTTATACGGCAAAGTGATTGAATTACTTGGTTTTATTTTCTATAATATAAAACTTTGAAGCAAGCACTTGAGGTTTTAATGATAAAACTCCATAAAACCAAAACTCAGATAATGCAGCCCATATTGGAAGAGAAAGAAAGATTTTGAATCCTGTAAACAATTCTGTTTTAGAGATCCCAGAAATAATGGATAACTTAACTAGTAGTCATAGATTTCATGAATAATGCTTAATAGTTTTAAATTGTTTAATTTTTTTTTTACATGAAGCCTTATCATTATAATATATTTTAATAGCATTTTATTTTATTTTATTTGCTATTTGTCATAAGTAGCAGGTCATTTTTTCATTCATTATATGACCATCAGGGAAAACAGTATCTTTTTTAATCAAATTTACCCCAAGCAAGGCAGTAAAGCCACTAAAACACAAGGGGTTACTGTGTGTGAAAGAAATAGAAAACAGAAATATTATTAAGGAGTGATAACAACAGAAGAGTAATCAGGAAGACAATAGATAACAATTGACATTGCATTTAAATTTTTGAAGATCAAAGTTGGCTGGAAAGTAAGAAGCCAGAAGAGAATTTCACAAGCAAGAAGTACAAGAAAAGAAACTGTTAGCATAGAACTTACAATTACATCAAACCAATTCAACTGTAAATTGATGAGACCTTGTTGCCAATCTTGTACTGTACTTAAATTCATAAAGTCTATGTACAACAATTACCACGAAGGCATTTATAGAAAAGGTACAGTGAAGCAACTTTATGGTAATGGGAAAGTGACTGACATTAAGACATCAGGTCAGGACCAATAATATTGCTGATTCTTATTTGGATTTTATCAAGAATCTCTAAATAAATAGCAGGAGCACTGGACCATATGTGGCAGCAATATTCTAAGCATGGGTGAATGGCAGACTTAGATATGTAAAATAGATTCTAGAGAGAACAATTGTCTAGCACAACACAGTGAACCAACTTTCTTAGCAGCTGACCTAGCAATATATTCAATATAGCATTTCCACTTCATGTCGGCCAAGAACGTTAATCTGAGAAGGCATAACAAGTCACTCTCCTGAAAGTTAGTGATGGAAAGCAGAAAGGGGTCTCTCAAATGATTAGTGGAGAGCAGTTTTGTTTTAGAGGCATTAAAATTAACAAGCCATTCTTTGCCCCAGTTAACAACTGTCTGTATGTCATTTTTGTGATCAGCTGCCAATTTGACCGTATCCAACTTATCAGACAGTATTGAGACGGGAATAAATGGTTGTATCATCAGTATAGATAACAAGTGCTGATGTCATCACGGAGCTTTTTAATGAAAATAAAAACAAAGTAGGACCAAGGATAGAGCCCTGGGGGGAGACCTGCTTTAGTACAGATGGAGCTAGAAGAGTGACCATTCAGGATAATTTTCATGATTTGATAAGATTGAATCAGTTGAAAAATTCATCTGAAGACACCATTTCGACTTGTGAAGAAGACTATCATGCCAGACCCTGTCAAAATTGACATGCCAAACACTTTCAAGATGTCCAAAGCAACAGACTGAGTTTCATCATTCTTATCAAAAGCCTGATAGACTCTTTCTGCAATAATCATTAATACATCAGTAGTTAACCTAGAGAGACAAAAGCCATATTTTTTGTCTGAAAGAATGCCTTGCATTGTAAAATGCTTAATTAGGGCCTCTAGTAGTTTATCAAAAAGAGGTAGAAGGTTAATAGGTCAATAGTTGGAATTGTCAGACAGTTCACAAGACTGGAACAACAGATAAGGATTTCCAATAACCAGGAAAGCAAAAGGCAGCAAGGAATTTAGTGAAAATAGGATACATCAAACGTAAAAAAAAATAAGTTTCCAGCAAGATTTGAACTCACATTTCTTATCTTTGTGACACTTTAGAATTAAAAATTAATATTACTAGAAAGAGATAGCATTTAATGGACTTGAGAAGTATAATTTCCTAGAAAACTGTTTTTAAAGCATCATATAAATTTCAACCTAAAGTTATACTAAGAGTTCAGTCAATGAATGTGAAATATATTCTATATGGAAACAACTAATTTCACCATTACCAGTAATGCTAAATATTTGTTTTATTATGCATGTTTAAAGAGGTCGAGTAGCATATAAGGGGAAGTAAGTCTTCCAAAGAAAATTTATAAAACTGTTAAATCCAAATTACAGCATAATTCTTTTATAGCAAAAAAATCTAAACTATGAAAATAAAACAAAGAAAAACTAATTTAACATGAGCAAAACAGTTATTTTTATTCATTAATTGAATATCTGGATATTGTTTTACAATTTCTTTTGTCAAATCAAGGAACACATTAAATAAATCAATAACACAATGGATTGGTGATTAATAAGGAAAGATTTTTGGATCAAAAACTGTACGATAAATCACCGATATCATTATTATTATAAAAAGAAAATAGTTAAGTTTACAATTATTCTTTTCATGAATTCAGTATTTTAGAAATATTGAGTTGTGTAAATAGCTAACATTATTTTTCTTCTTTTTTTCAGATTTTGAATTATTTTGATTATATTTTCACCAGTGTGTTCACAATAGAGATTATCATCAAGGTAATTTCAATTTAAATATTAATTTCAATTAAAATATTAAATTTAATTTCATATTTACCTAATAATTTAATATTAATTTTCTTTTAACACTTTCCAGACTGACCAACTGTATCTGGCCAGCTAAATATAAATAGATATTGAAATTATAGCTTCAGCTTTGCGGTTTCAATCATTACTTTTTAAGCACTGGATTCTCTGGCCTTCCTCAGTAATTGCCAATATTTTTTTCACCCCTTCACTGAAGAATTTGTAGGATCCAGTTTGAGTCATTTATCATACAAAAGCTGAAGATTACACCTGGGGAAGGTTGAAAAGAAATTAAATATCTACATGCATAACTCTCATAGAATTGAAAGTACATTCATGCACAATCATCAGACAGCACAATAAATCCTAGAAACAGCACCTCATTGTAAAACATAAAAACATAAAACAACTTGTTTATAAAATTTATTCAAACAATCATAAAGGTCGGTAAGTAAAAACTTGAACCAATTATAATAATTACTGTTTTCCATTTGAGCTCTAGGTGGAGAAAATGTGAAATTAATAAATGGAGTAGCCCTCATAATTTTGGAGGTTACGGTTTGGAAATTTTCCTCAAAAAAATTAATGCACCTGCCTTTCTATTATGCATCTAAGAGTTTAACTCTCCTGCTGGTTAGGGATCAGTAAGACAAGTAAGGCTAACTAAAGTTTAAATGTATTTGAAGTTTGGTTAATCACAAATAGAAATATGAAGTTGCTTGACATCAAGCTTAATGTTTACCTTTGCTGACATTTAATCAAATAACAACCAAAATGTGAATAATGAATATATCAATGTATAATAATTACAATTCCTCATTTCAGACAGAAATGAAATAATAAGACTCTCTCAAATTATATTCTCAACCATTTTTTATGTCTTTCTACTTTTCAGCTTATTAGTTATGGATTGGTCCTCCACAAGGGATCATTCTGTCGAAGTTATTTCAACTTACTGGATCTGCTTGTCGTAGGAGTATCTCTAATTTCCATCAAGTAAGTCGTCCTTTGTATTTTTATTATTCATTATGTGTCTATACCATGGATTTTTTGTTGATTTTTTTTTTTTAATCATTTCACCCCAAACAAAGCAATAAAGCCAGTAAGATGCAAGGAGTTACTGAGTGTGAAAGAATATGAAAAAAAACATTATTAAGAAAAAAGAACAATAAAAGAACAGGAATTAAGAAGACAGTAGATAACGATTGACATTGCATTTAAATTCTTGATCAAAGTTGATTGGAAAGCAAGAAGCCAGAAAAGAGTTCCACAAACAAGAAGTGCAAGGGAAGAAACTGTTAACTTACAGTTACATCTAGCCATTTCAACTGTAAAATAAGACCTAGCTGCCAATCTAGTACTGTACTTAAATACATAAAATCTAGGTATCATAGAGCAAAGTTCATCAGAACAATTACTATGAAGGTATTTATAAAAAAGTGCACAGGGAAGCTATGTTATGCTGATGGGAAAGTGACTGAAGGTCAAGACCAATAGTATTGCATTTTTTGTATTTTATCAAGAATCTTTAAATACATAGCAGAAGCATACAGATCAGATATGGCAGCAATATTTAATGTATGAATGAATGGTAGATTTCTAAATATGTAAAATAGATTCTGGATAGGCAAGGTAGGCAATATCTTATCTGAATAAAATTATAAACGTCAATTATTGAATATAAGCAGTAAAAAAAAATGATTAATTTACAATGAATTTATAACTTAATGCACTAAATTCAATATATAATTTAGTATTATTTTTAGTTGAGACATTAGATCTTGCTTTTCAACTTTATTATACGATAATACGCATCATAATCATTAGATCCAAACATCACTGAAAGCTGCTACAAGCCACATTTAATATTGAATGCTAAATACAGCAAAAATTCTACTTTTGCTCTTCGGTATGTGTTTATAGACTATTGTTATTTAATAAGTTATAAAATGTAATTATTCTTATCATTCTTATTATTTTCACTGCTTGGCATTTGTACATTCAGTTACCAGGTATATTTGGTATTCTACAAATACCTTTAACCGATATTTATGTCCATCACCTGAAGAAGGCTAGAGGCTACAATAGCTGAAATGTTTGTGACAGTAACAACCAAAATGAGAAATCAGTTCAAATAAATCATTGTTCAGTAATAGTATTTACATTTTTTTTTAATGTAATGATCATTAAGTCCTTTTTCAGACATGTATAGTATCTAGTGGTCATTGGCAGTTGTATTAGTACATTAGTACTACATGGTCTAACAGAATCAGAGGACTTAATGTTGAGGTCATGCATTAATATTTCATATTAATTTATATCGATAATATAAAAAATTTTTTGCAATAATGAACCAGGATCAAGTGACAACAAGTATCCTCATTATTCTAGACAATTAAATATCATTTATTATTATAATTATTAACAGTAACAACATTAATCAGAATTTATGCAAACAGGTTTTTGGATATTTTGTCATTTTCTGAGACATTAAAATATTGAAAAGTTAAATTTATTAAGATATCATAATCAATTTTTCTGTTTTCCTTTAAATTTATTCAATTTATATACCAATGTCTGAAAGCTTTTCTTAACTGTTTGCGCTCATCATTCTTAATATGCGTAGTTGTCTCCCCTTAATCCTTGCGTTCTTTAAATTACATAATTGTCTCTCTTAAATCTTTGCATTTTTTTTTCTTAATTTTATTACTGCCAACTAAATGTGAAAAAATAGGTGACAGAAAATCATCATGGACAAAAGAAAAGCACCCTTTACTCTAGATTTTAAAAACCTGGCCATACATTTTCAAACTTTCTTCATTTAACCCATTATATCTGAAAAATCACAGTATCAAATTTGAAATTGGTAAATTCAGTTAGATATTAACTGAACTGATATGACAGGCTGTTAGAGATGCATCCTTTAATTTAATTGACTACAAGTTGTTGTAATGACCTGTTCTTACCTTGTTTCATGTGAAACATTGTTATGTATTGCAATGTAGTATTATCAATGTAAAGACTAATATGAATACCAGATTAAATCTTTCATTCATAAAATTATTGTTTATTCACTTCTGGACTTCATCAGTTAAGGTCAGCATGAGGGTGTGTGATTTTGGTTAACTTTCTTTTAATGTTGATATTCTTTTCCTGAGGATGTGAATGAACATACTTTTCACTCCTTTCAGGTGGGGTGCATATAACTTCCTGTCATCCAATTGTTTCATATGCACACACCATAAGTTCAGTTGTGCTGATCTCTTGTTTATATATCAGGTCAGCCACATTGAGGCCTGATTCTGCATGTGCTGGCTATGAGATCACACTCCAGACCAACTTTCTGATGCACCTGGCTCTTTTGATGCAACGAGTGCAAAACTTATTTTGTCACGTCCTAGGGTGAGATCAGCATTGGGGTCACTAAAATCAGCTCTTAATACAAAAGTTCCTTACTGACATTAAATGAGACATCTAGTACTTCCTTGCATAAATTATATACAACAGTAACACTTCAACTTGACTTACCAAATTGAGTATGCATGATGACATCACTCAACTGCCAATCTTTTATGTACCCTTAACCTGGACAGAACATGTGAGCAACAACAAAGTTTTAGGAAAAAATGGATACCAAAAGCACACTTATACTTAGAATTAGAGACAGTTAAAATTTTTAGGACACCTAATGAGGAAAGAGGGCTTAGAAAATTTAACACTTACAGGACATATTGAACACAGGGGGGACAGAGGAAAACAACACATAACCTATTTAACATGCTTGTGTAAATGATTGCCAGAACAGGGATTAGGAGAAATAGCAAAAATACAAACATTATTAAGAGATACAAGGAGAGGAAATTGTGGAGATCCATGATTGCCAACGTCCTAAAGGGACAAGGTAGATAGATCAACATTCCTAATAGTGTAAAAAAATAATAAGTCTTAATTTTTACACTCAAAAGCTCTCACTGGGTAAAATCTGTTAAGTCATATCATTTGCTTCATTCATAAAGTTTCAGTATTTTAAAAGTCTCATCCTCAAAATAGGGATAAGCTCCTGTCCACTCTTGGGAATGGGTTAAAAAGAGATCAAAATCTTCTTCAACCTAATATAATAATAGCCATCATGATCTAAGAGCTAGCACAGTCATCCCTTTATAACTTTCAGAGATTAAGTTTTATTTTCTCTTGAAAATAAGGAGACGTTTTATAAAAAGAAGTGTCTTGTACGCCTTCAAAAATACAGTACATCATATCCAGTGCCAGATTTACATATTTACATAATTAGAAATAAGATAATGAGGAAAATAAAATTTAATTTATATTAACTAAAAAGATGTCTTTCTAGCTTTTATTTTAGATAATTATTTCATTGTTGACACCCATTCACATCCAAGCATTGGGATTGTTATCCCCTGTCCTTATTCCCTTTCTCCCCTCTGGTGGCAGTGACAGAGATGGTTGTGAAGGCCCAGACTAACCCTGAAAGAGTTGTGAGCAGTAGCCACATAGGAGTGTAGGTGGTGGATAATTATTTAAATTTTTTTTTTTTCTAAAACGGCATTCACCCGAGGTGGGTTGAGCTGGCTCCAATATTAGTTTCATGGGAATTTGGAATTCACAAGCGGTCCCCAACCTGCATGTATAGCACATGAGATTTGATTATAGTGGTGAAGGTTTTGTGCAGGACCATCCACACTTTTTGAAGGGCCGATTACAGAGACCTGGTGCACTACATGCCACAAGGTCCCCAAATGACCTTCCGCAGGTTTTGAATTCAGAGTTTTCTTCTCCTAGACCAGTTGTCATCCAAGGCTATAGAACCCAGTCTGTCCTGCTATTTAGCCATAGCTGGAGGGAGAAGAAGAGGATTCACACCTTTCCCAAGGGTATTAGCACGTAAGTGAATGTAATGGATTCGACTTGAATTCGAACTCAGCTCTCCGATTCCTCAATCCAAGGCGCTATCCATTACTCCACCGTGCCTCCTCCCATTACTCCACCATGCCTCCTCCCATTACTCCACCATGCCTCCTCCCATTACTCCACTGTGCCTAATTATTTAAATGTGTACTAAACAAGAATTTATTCGTATCTGAACTGTTTTTTCAGTTTGGCAAAATATGTTAGAAGTTTGTTCCTTGCTGCTTATTTTTCCACTTACTTGCTTTTGGAATTTTATTTATATTGTCAATTGTAATTTCAATATTCTTAAAAATTCCTTTATATATGTCTGGCTGTCTAGATATCTTTATTAAAAAATTGCTTCTTTGAGTATATGTTGATTACGGGATTAAGAATGTCCTAAATATAAGCAGTGTCAAATGAGATTTGAATTCATTGTTTCTGTTTTCTGTGCTGGTAACCATTACAACTCTACACACTTCCACTTCCCATTTAGAATGAGTTGAAAAACAGATTCTGTAAAAATATAACAATGAACTTTAATACAGTCAAAAATTTAGTGTTTGATTTTGAAAATATGCCAAGAATTCAGTAGGGATTACTTGTTAGCAAATGCATATGATGTCACCCAGTTTAACTGCGTAAACTGTTGCCAGCTATGTTTTAATGAGGAAGAATGCAAAGTCCTACATTTAGGACATAACAGCACTAGAAGCCACATAAGACATCATGACAGCATTGATAGGAAGTTGCTGGAATCATCTCACCTCAGAAAAAAAAAATGGGTGTATATGTAGGTAATGGTTTAGGTGTCACATAGAAATTCAAGTTGTTTTTTTAATCATTTCATCCCAAGCAAGGAAATAAAATCACTAACATGCAATGGATTACTAAGTGTTAAAGAATATGAGAAAAAAAACATTAAATAGAGAGAGAATAATAAAAGAACAGGAATTAAGAAGACAGAAGATAATGATCGGTATTGCATTTAAATTTTTGAAGATCAAAGTTGACTGGAAAGCAAGGGGCTAGAAGAGAGTTCTATAAGCAAGAAATGAAAGAGAAGAAACTGTTAGCATAGAACTTAT